CACATAGGTTTGTTTCTATATCCATTCAGTCAGCCTGTGTCTTTTGATCGGAGCATTTAGTCTATTTACATTTAAAGTAATTATTGATAGGTATGTACTTACTGTCATTTTGTTAATTGTTTTCTGTATGTTTTTGTAATTCTTTGTTCCTTTTTTCTTCTCTTTTTTCCCTTGTGGTTTGATGTCTTTATTTAGTGTTATACTTGTATTCCTTTCTTTTTATGTTGTTTTTTGTTATTTTTTGTATCTGTTAAAGGTTTCTTATTTGTGGTTACCATTGGGTTCATATATAACATCTTATGTATATAGCTGTCTTTTTTTTTTTTTTTTAAGATTTTATTTATTTATTTGACAGAGAGAGACACAGTGAGAGCAGGATCACAAGCAGGGGGAGAGGGAGAGGGAGAAACAGGCCTCCTGCAGAGCAGGGAGCCCGATGCGGGGCTCGATCCCAGGACCCCGGGATCATGACCTGAGCCGAAGGCAGACGCCTAACGACTGAGCCACCCAGGCGCCCCTATAGCTGTCTTTATTAAGTTGATGCTCACTGAAGTTTAAACATGTTCTAAAAGCGCTAAATTTTTACTCCCCTCTCCAGGTTTTTTGTATATACCATATTTTACATCTTTTTATTTTGTGTATTCCTTGACTGTTATTTATAGATATTATTGTTTTTACTACTTTTGTGTTTTAACCTCCATATTGGCTTTATCAGTGATTAATCTACTACCTTCACTATATGTTTGCTTTTACCTGTGAAATTTTTTCCATTAATGATTTTCTTCTAGTCATGGCCTTTTCTTTCCAAAGTATTCACTTTAACATTTCTTATAAATCTGGTTTAGTGGTGATGAACTCCTTTAACTTTTGTTTGAGAAATTTTTAACCTCTCCTATTCTGAATGATAACCTTGATGGGTAGGTTATTTTTGGTTGCAGGATTTTTTTTTTTTTTTTTTTTCTCAGTATTTTGATATATCATGCCATTCCCTTTGGCCTGTAAAATTTCTGCTGAAAAATCAGCTAATAGCCTTGTGGGGCTTCCCTTGTATGTAACTCTCTTCTATTGCTGCCTTTAAAATTTTCTCTTTATCCTTACTTTTTGCCCTTTAATTATTATGTGTCTTGGTGTGGACCTCCTTGGGTTAATTTTGCCTTCTGGATCTGGATTTCTGTATCCTTCCCCAGATTCAGGAAGTTTGCAGCTATTATTTCTTCAAATAAGTTTTTTGCTTCCCCTTTTCTCTTTCCTTCTCCTTTTGGGACCCCTATAAAGTGAATGTTGTTTTTTTTTTTTTTTAAAGATTTTATTTATTTATTTGAGAGAGAGAGAATGAGAGAGAGCACATGAGAAGGGGGAAGGTCAGAGGGAGAAGCAGACTCCCTGCCGAGCAGGGAGCCCGATGCGGGACTCGATCCCAGGACTCCAGGATCATGACCTGAGCCGAAGGCAGTCGCTTAACCAACTGAGCCACCCAGGCGCCCTAAAGTGAATGTTTTTGCACTAGATTATGTCACTGAGTTTCCTTAATCTATTCTCATTTTTTTTTTTTCATTTTGCCATTCAGCTTGGGTGCTTTCTATCACCCTGTCTTCCAGATTGCTGATCTGTTCTTCTGTGTGTCCTCTAATCTGTTTTTCATTCCCTCTCATGTATTTTTTAAGGTGGGGGAATGGCAGAGGGAGAGGGAGAGAGGAAATCCTAAACAGGCTCTGTGCCCAGTGTGAAGCCCAATGTGGGGCTCAATCTCACAACCCTGAGATCATGACCTGAGCTGAAATCAAGATTCAGACATTTAACCAACTGAACCACCCAGGTGCCCCTCCTCTCATGTATTTCTTATTTCAGTTATTGAATTCTTCATCTCTGACTGGTTCTTTTTTATATATATTTTATCTCTTTATTGAAGTTCTCACTGAGATCATCCACTCTTTCCTCAAGTCCAGTGAATATCTTTATGACCATTACTTTGAATTCTTTATCAGGCATATTGTTTATCTCTGTTTCATTTAGCTCTTTTGCTGTGATTTTTGTCTTATTCTTTTATTTGGGACATATTTGTCTGTCCCTTCATTTTGTCTAACTCGCTATGTTTGTTTCTATATATTTAGGGAGGTCAGTTACATCTCCTGGTCTTAAAAGTAGTGGCCTCGTGTAGAAGAGGTCCTATCATATCTTGTAGCATAATCCCTCCAGGTCACAAGAATCAGGCACTGCAGGGATGTCTCCCTTGTGGGCTGTGTGTGCCTTACTGTTGTGTCTGAGCTGTGATTGCCTTCAGTCCAGCTGGCTGCAATGGCCCACTTTCCCTATTGTGAGCACATCCTCAAGGTTTGGTCCCGCAGCTGTTGAGAGGCCTGTCTGAGACCAGAGGGGGCTCCTATGTGGGCAGGGATAGCAGTCAGACTGGATGTCTGCAATTAGCCTCTCTGCCACAGTTGCAGGCTCACCCCACAGCAGGGCCCACTTCCTGCACAGCCAGTCGGAACTGTGGGCATGCTGGTGTGTAGTATTATCTCCCCCTTCTCCCCAGGGCAGGAGTCACTTTGGAATGATAATGGTTTCTGCTGGGGCCACATGTAGGGTATGGCCAGGCAGGAGCTGCTTTGAAGGAACCTGCTGAGTTGGGTGGGTTGGATGGGGCGTGTCTGCAGATGAACACAGGGGTGGGGCATGTGGTGCTAGCAAGTTAGACTGAGAGTTTTAGAGCTAGCTCCTACAAGTGTCTGATCATCTAGAGTTGGGGAGGGGGAGGAGAAATGGTGCCTGCCACTGCTTTGGTACCTGGAGAAATTTCCTGAAGATTCCTGCCCCACCAGCACCCATTCTGAGAGTAGTAAATAAAAACTGACATCTACCCCAGGCACCTTTCCAACTGCTGCTTCTGTGCTATGTCTCAGCCAAGTTATTTATTATGCTGGCTCTTTCAGTTCAGGGACTTGGTTTCTTTTCACCCTCCAGCTCTCCCAGAATTAAACCTGCTGATTTTAAAAGCTCCAGAAGTTAAGCCCCACTGGTTTTCAAATCCAGACGTTATGAGGACTCGTCTTCCCAGTGCAGGTCCCTGGTGCCTCGGGGGGTGGGGGTGGGTCTGATCCTTCTGCTTCTTCCTGCTTGTGGTGTCCCTCCCATTTGTGGTTAGTCTTGCTGAGGATTTGCTTCCCAACTATATCTCCACCCCCTTACCATTTTCCATGTGGTCTCTGTCCAATTAATAGTGGAAGATCTGTCTTGCCAGTCTTGAGGTCAATTTCAGAGTTTGTTCAATAGATGTAGTTGTTATCTCACTGTGTCTGTGGGACCGGGTGAGTTCAGGATTTCCTGCTCTGCCATCTTTTCTAGATACTCCCCCACCATTGTTTCTTATATCCTACTTCATTACTAGTTCAATTTATTTGAATGATTTGATGTATTTCAGCAAGAATCTATGAGCAGTAAATATGTGTACTGGTATTCTGAAAAGGTCTTTGTTTCTCCCTCAGGTTTAATGACAATTTAGCTAGAAGATAATTTGATACTGATATCTTTCCTCAGCCCTTAAGATATTATCCACAATCTCCACCACCTATTGCTGCTAATGAGAAGCCCCTTGCCAGTCTGCTATTCCTTGGTAATCTATCTTTTCTCTCACACAGCTTTTATATTTTTTTCCTTTGACTTATGCTAACTTATTACAAAGTATGTAAGTGTGGATTTATCATTATTTCTTATTGTTGAAGCTACTTCAATTGAAGGATTTATGTCCCTTTTTAATTTTAAAAGTCTTAGGTATTATCATGTGAATACTGACTCCTTTTCATCATCCCTTTCCTTTTTCCCTTTTGGAATCCCTGGTCTATATATGTTGAACCTTCTCATTCTATCTTACCCACGGTTAACTTCTCTTTTAATATTTTCCATCTCTTCATCTCTCTGTGCTGCATTCTGAGTGACTTCCTTAAATCTAACTAATTCCCCAATTCTCTCTCCTGCTGTGTCTAATCTACTTTTCAACTTCTGCATTAAATTTTTTATTACAAGAACTAATGATTTCTGTAACTCCTTTCTCTTGTCCCTAAAGCTACATTCTTTTTTCATGCTCTTGAGTTTTTTGTTTGTTTTGTTTTTTACCTAATGGCTTTTATTCCTTTATTTCTTTGAACATTTAAAAAAATATTTATTTTAAAGTCACTTTCATGTCTTTCTGTTGTTTAATTCTGTCATTCTGTTATATCTTCTGACTATATGTGGTAGCTCATCTCTTTATGTGGTTTGCATTTTTTTTTTTTTTTTTTACTATAAGCTTGTTTTAAGTGGGAATTGTTTCCTTTGGCCACCATAGGTGCCTTGGGTTGTGGAAGCATCTTTACAGAATGATTTCAGATTTGCTCTACAAGAGAGGGTTGGATTGCAAGCACCATTTTGTCTCTGAGTCTCTGAAATACACGGTATACATTTAGAACCTCACCTGTACTTGGTTTTCAAGTTTCTGATTTCTCATGGGTGGTTCTTTTAAAAGGCTCCAACAGTCATAGCTGGATACCAAGCTTCCCTGCTATTCCCTGGGAAAGTGTACATATATTTTTTACAATTTGTTTTACAGATGAAATGGCATTTTTGACTCTGAACTTCATGCTGATAGCTTAGTTCTAGCTTCCCATTACTTCTGACTCAAAGTAAATCCTCAGCCACCCAGTCATTAAGATTTTTCTTTATCTGTCTCAGTTTCCCTTTGCATGTAATTCTCACTTAATTCTTTAATTGTGCTTTCCTCCCTATATATGGCACCTGGAGACTTTACTGATTTCTAGATGAGTTCTGTGTTCTTCATGTAATTCTTTGTGTTATATTTTTCAGAATTTCTATGATTTAGAGTAGGGGTGGTGTGCCTTCCATATCTGTTTAAATCACCATATTCATCAGATATATTACCTCTCTAATGAAGAAAAAATACAAAAAGTTTTAAAATATGTTTAAAGCAATGTTTTATTTTAAGTAACCTTTTTCTCTATGCTTCTCAGTGCTGAAATTGAAGAACCACATAATTATGAGGCAACAATTTCATATCTGAAACACTCTGGCAACTCCATTAACCTGTGCACCGCAAAAGAAATTGCTGATTGTAAGTCTGCTAAGCCAATTAATATTGTAACCCTGAGTGGAATGAAAATGTGGCAAAAATGGTATTTTCCCTCTAGCTAACTATAAGTTTAAAAATTCACAGCCATGCTGCTCTACCATCTCGTTTCTTTTTTGTTCCCCCCTGCCTGGTCTCTTAAAAATATAAATAAATCCAGTTGGGCATCAATGCTATCTCACAACTCCTAGTGCTGCCTTCTCTCTACCTCTTCTATTCTCTCCTTCACCAATCTACCTAGATGCCTTGCCTTCTGTAGATATGTGGGAGGGAAAATCAAGATACAGCGATTCATTTTTCTTCCTTCTCCTCCTATAGAAACTTCATCTCTCTTCTTGTGGTGTCTTTCTTGAACTCCCCTGGTAGCTCCGTGTGTGGAGAGGGAGATAACAGACTATGAGAATTAGGTCCCTGTGTTTAGTCTGAATAGGAGCAGAGAATTCATTTAATGGATCTGACCACTGGTTCAGAGCTAAGTCTTCCCGCTTCTGGTATTGCTGACAAAGCTCAGACCTTTCTATGAAGAAAGAGACCCTGTCAGGTAAGAAAATGAAGAAGCAGGGCCTCATAACATTTCTACAATTTTCTGTGTCTTTGTTCTGCCTGTAGGATCAGCCGATTCTCTACAAAAGGCATAAATGTTTGCGCTGGAATAAACAATAGTATTTTCTGAACCTACACTATAGGCCAAGTTCTGTAGTAGGTTCTCTGTGTGCATCCCTGCTGATACAGCGGTTTTATTAGCCCATTTTTTGAGACAGGAAACTGAGAACCAGAGAGGTTGAGTTGTACAGGGTCCTACAAGGAATATATGGTAGAGCTATCATGTGAAAGGCTCAGACTGCCTCTGAGATGCATGCTGTTTTCATTCTGCATGGAGCACTGGGTGTTATATGCAAACAATGAATCATGGAACTACATCAAAAACTAATGATGTAATGTATGGGGATTAACATAACATAATAAACAAAAAATGCATGCTGTTTTCACAGTTTTATGCTGCTTCCCATTCGAGGATGTTTTGCTTCCCTGGAGGGAGGGTTAGAGAGAGATCATCTGGTTCAGCTTCTTTATTGTGTGGAGAAAAAAGCCCGAGAGTCTGGGAGAAGTCATTTGCCTAGGAATACATACATAAGAGGTTTGTGGGGTAGGAGTTAGGATCCATTGAAATTGCCCTCCCCTTCCCCAGGAAATAAAGGGTTGTAGAACTACTGGAAAAGCTCCCTCTCTCTTTCTCTTAGACTGGGCAAAGTCTACATTCTCCCATATGGCTTATAAAATACTAGTCCTAAGACAAGCAACTCCTGTCCCCTCTCACCCCCATAAGGCAATATTGTTCTGTTCTTGGGCACCTGCATCAGAATATGGCTTCTCAAATTCTAACACTTAAAATATGAATCATTTGGGGATCTTGTTTAACATATTCTGGTTGAGTAGCTGTGGGGTTGGGCCTGAGAATCTTCATTTCTAACAAGTTCCCTGGTAGTGCTGCTGCTGTTGGTTTATAAACCATGCTTTCAATAGAAAGGCCATGGGCCCCATTGGGACTAAATTCCAACTGCATGCCTTTCTACAAAGGGCTTATAGGGCTATTTAGATGCTCTCATTGGAGCCTATACCTTCTCTTTCTGGATACATGAGGCCCCCAGAAAACCCCCTCTCAAGTGGCTGTCTGAGGTCCTGCTTGGGTCTCTTCCCTGAGTCCCAGGACAGACTGGGCTGCAGGGAGAGCAGTTCATGGGGACTGGTGTGGATGGGATTTGGGCCTATGCAAGGCCCCTTGTCATGTAGGGTGAAGCTGAGGACTGAAAGTGGGAAGCTGGACCAGAGGCCTGCATTTGTTCTTCCCAGGCCACAAATGTTCATGGTGGCCTGCCAGGGAACATCACCTGAGGTACCCAAAGAAGGAGCCACTAACTCAAGCCTCTCTTCAGTCTTTCACTGAGGGATTCTTCATGTACTTCATAAATGAGGCAAGTGTTTATGGCTGAAAGAGAAAGGGCTCAGAAAATAAGCCACTGATGCAATTTAGAGTAACAGAGCATAGGGTAGCAGAAAGGGAAGAAGGTGGGAGACAGGTGAGGGTGGTGAGGGTGTCCCTTGCCAGAGAGAACATCCTGGTGGGAGATAGGAATAGACCTGTCAGGGCTAAAGAAACTGAAGAACTACAGCCTGGGATCAAAAGGATCCTGTTACATGTCCCCACCCCTTTCCTTGTTCCTCTTTAAAGGACCAAGAGGCAGTTAGAAAACAACAACAACAACAAACAAACAAAAAGGGAGTGAGCTATTTTGCCCCCACTGTATTTACTCGTTTGACTCTTACTCCATTTATCTTCCAGTTATCTTTATACCACTTACTGGGTGAATGACATCTGAACCTCAGTGTCTTCATCTGAAAAATGGGTATAATATTGCCTTCATGGCATTGTTCTGAGAGTTTGGTAAAACAATACATTTAAAGTCAAGTGGAATTCTGCTTCTGGAAAGATGGAGCATATATACTCTTTCCTATTCCCCCTGCTAAGTACAACTAAAACTGTTGGATATCATATGTAAAACAAACATAAGAAAACTTGAAGACTCTGAAAAGGTAGAAATAAGAAGGTAGACCAGCTAGAGACCTAGGAACCCAAGGAAGAATAGGTGGTGAGTTCCTTGGGTTTTCTTCTTGCCTCATATATCCCAGACTTCGAGCTAAAGAAGCCAGCAATCCAGAAACACCAGGGGGTACAAACAGAAACATCTACAGCAAAAGCCTGTTCTCTCTGGCCTAAGGACCAGAGAAGGGGCCGTCTAGAAAAACAAAAAGCCTTAGACAATAACTGTTCTACTCCAGCCAAACATCACAGAAAAAACTATGGCTCCACCCCACCAGCCAATGCTGAGTGGGGATCCCAGACACCCATCCTCATCAGCCTGCAATTATGTACCCCAACCCCTCTGCTGAGGTGGTGCAGAGAAAGCTAAGTCAGAAGCTGGGACTTTCATCACTTCCAGGAGTAACAAAACTCCACCTACAATGAAGACCTTGTGGGGAGCTTATATTCCAGTCTCCCACCCCGCAGAAGGTGCCCCTTTTTCTCCCTGTTGGGATGTTGTTAGAGAAAACCCAGTGGAGAATCAGGACTTTCACAACTACCCAGCAGTAAGGAGGCCAAATAGGGAGCAAAAACAAGCACTCCTACCACTCTTAGCCAGGGTGTTATCAGCAGAAGCTGAGTGGGGAACTGAAGTACCCACTCTGGTCCAAGTGGAGTGAGGAGCCCTGCCCTCACTTGGGTATTGGGAGGCTAAGAAGTGGAGAACCTAGATGTGTACCCTCAGCAGACAGAAAAAAGTTATCCCATTTCTGTCACCAGGAAAAGCCAACTAAAACAGAAGCTTTAAATAATATCCAGTCTCATAACATAATACTTAAAATGTCCAGGTTTCAAAAGAAAATTACTCATCATACCAAGAACCAAGAAAGTCTAAGTCTAAACTTGAATGAAGAGATGATCAATAGATGCCAACACTGAGACAACTGAAGTATTAGCATGTTCTGACAGAGACTTTAAAGCAGCTCTTAATACTTCAGTGAGCAATTACAAGCATGATTGAAACACACAAAAAATAGAGTAAAACTCTATTCTAAAATAGAAGAAATAGAATGTCTCTGCAGAGAAATGGAAGGTGTAAAGAAAAAGAAATAGGAACTTAGAAGTGAAGAATACAATGAGAAAAATAAAAAGCTCACTGATGGGCTCAACAGCAGAATGGGGAGAATAGAAAAATCCATAAACTTGAAAGAAATGATAGAAATTACCCAATCTGAACAATAAGGAGAAAACAGAATGGGGGAAGAAAATGAACAGAGCTTCAAGGATCTGTGGGACTATAATGCAAGTGTTAAATTGCAGTACTGGAAAGAAAGGGGAAAGAGGATGCTACTGGACAAGTACGTGAAGAAATTGAAAACTTCCTCAATTTGGTAAAAGACATTAAACAAAAGATTGAAGGAGCCAAGAAAATCCCAAACAGGGTAAACCCAATCCACACAAAAACATAATCAAACTTGTAAAAAAAATAAAAAATAAAAAGTAAAAATCTTAAAGGCAGCAAAAGAAATGCTACATTACCTATAGGTGAAAAACAATTTGAATGACTGAATTTCTCATCAGAAACCACAAAAGCCAGAAGAAAGTGGCACAACATTTTTCAAGTACAAGAAGAAAAGAACTATCAATCCAGAATCCTATTACCAGTGAAAATATCCTTCAAGACTGAAGGGGAAATCAAGATATTCTCAGATGAAGGAAAACTAAGAAAATTTGTTCCAGCAGACCTATCCTAAAAGAATGGCTGAAGGAAGCTTTCTAGACAGAAAAGAAATGATAAAAGGAAGAACCTTGGACCGTCACTTCAGGAGAGAGAAAAATGGAAAGAATACAAATGTGAGTAAATGTGACGTATTTTCTTTCTTTTGAGTTTTTAAAATTATGTTTGATGGTTGAAGCAATAACTCTTAACATTATCTGATATAGTTCTAAATGTGTATAAAAGAAATACATAAGGCCATTATAAGGAAAGGGTTAAGGGACATAGAGGGAAATAAGGTTTCTGTACTTCGCATGAACTGATAAAATGTCCATACCAGTAGACTGTGATGTTACGTGTATATATAGTATAATCCCTAGAGCAACCACTAAAACAGCTAAACAGTGAGATATTAAAAAAAAAAAAAACTATAGGTAAATAAAAAATAATTCTAAAAAATGTTCAAATAACCCACAAGAAAGCATGAAATATCAAAAAGAAGCAAAAAAAAAAAAAGAACAAACACAAAATAAAAACTAAAGGGCAGACTTAAGCCCTAATATAGCAATAATTGCATTAATTACATTAAATGTAAATTACCTAAATATACCAATTAAAAGAGAGAGATTGGAGGATGTAAATTTAATCTAAAGAATGTCAGTGTGACTATATTAATAACTGATAAAGTGAACTTCAGAGCAAAGAAAATTATGAGAGATGCGGAGGGACATTCTGTAATGATAATAGGGTCAATCCATCAAGAAGACAAAACAATCATGTGTGCACCAAGTTCCAGAGCTGTAATACATGTGAAGCACGAGGTGAAAGAAGAAATAGACAAATGGACTCATAGTTTGAGACTTTAACACCCCTCTCTCCACATTGACAGAACACCTACTCAGAAAATCAGCAAGGATACAGAATTCAGCAACATCATTGGCAACAGGATCTAATTGATATCTATAGAAGGTGCAACAGGAGCAGAATACATATACTTTTCAAGCATCCATAAGCATATACTAAGATAGACCATATTCTGGGCCATAAAACAGCACATTTTGAAAAATTGAAATCATAGTGTATTTTCTGACCACAATGTAATCAGGCTAGAAATCAGTAATTAAGGGTAACAGAAAACTCTCTAAATACTTAGAAACAAAAGCACACATTTCTAAAAGGAAATCAATATATATATTGAACTGAATGAAAATGAAAATATATAAAAATCTGTGGGACACAGCCTAAGGAATGCAGAGGGGAAATTCATAGCACTAAATGCTTACATTAAAGAGGAAAATCTTTAAATCTAAGATCCTACCTCAAGAACATAGAAAAAGAAGAGAAAAATAAATCTGAAGCAAGTGGAAGGGAGGAAAGAATAAAGATTAAGAACAGAAATAAATTGAAAACAGAAAAGAGTAGAGAAAATCAATGAAAGGAAAAGCTTGTTCTTTGAAAAGATCAATAAAATTGACAAACCTCTAGCAAGTCTAACAAAGAAACAGAAAGAAGATACAAATGAACAGTATCAAGAATGAAACAAAGATATTACAAACTTTGCAGACTTCAAAAGGACAATAAGAGGATATTATGAACAACTCTACATATCTAAATTTGACAACTTAAAAAAACTCAAATTACCTCAAGTCACTCAATATAAATAATTTGAATAGCCCTATAACTGTTAAGGAAATTGAATCCATAATTTTAAAACTCAAAAAAAAAAAAAGCTTTAACACTGTATGTTAACTATACTGGAATTAAAATTTAAAAATAAATTTATTAACAGAAAATAGAACTCCCAAAAAGACCATCTCAAAGTCCTGGGAGATTTCACTCGAGAATTCTACCAAATGTTTAAAAATGAATTAACACCAATTCTATACAATCTTTCCAAGAAAAATGGAAGAGGAGGAAACACTTACTGATTCATTTTAAGAAGCTGGTATTACCCCGATAGCAAACCAGACAGAGATGTGCACAAGAAAACTCCAGATTAACATCCTTCATGAGTATAGTCATAAAAATCCTTTGCAAAATATTAGCAAATAGAATTCAGCAAGACATAAAATAGAATTATACCATAACTGAATGCTGTTTATTCCAGGGATGCAAAGCTAGTTTGATTTTCAAAGATCACTCAAAAAACTCAATCATCAATGAAATCTTTATTGACAGCCTAAAGAAGAAAAATCACACAATCATCAATCTATGCAGAAAACGCATTTGACAAATTCAAGACCCATTTATGGTAAAAACCTTCAGAAAAATAAGAATAGAGGGCAACTTTCTCAACTTGAAAAAAAGAGCATTTGTAAAAAAAGAAAAAGAAAGAAAGCAAGCTTATAGCTAATATGATACTTAATGGAGAAACATTGAATACTTTCCCCTGAGACTGGGAACAAGGAAGGCAAGGATGTCCACTCTTACCACTCCTATTCAACATAGTGCTGGAAGTTCTAGCCAGTGTAACAAGTCAAGAAAAGGAAATAAAAGATGTACAAATCAAACAAAGAATTAACCTGTCCTTATTTGCAGACGACAGGATTGCCTAGGTAGAAATTTCCAAGGAATTTACAAAAAAAAAAAAAAAATCTTAGAAGAATAAATGAGTTCAACAAGGTCACAGGATACAAAATAGAATTAAAAAATCCTATTTCTATATACTAGCAATGAACACACTAAAATCAGAAAATACTATAACATTCACAGTAGCTAAAGAAAGAAATTGACTCTAACAAAATGTTACAAGACTTAAATTTTGAAAACTACAAATTGCTGATGAAATAATTCAAAGGAAACCTACATAAATGGGGGAGATATACCATGTTTTGTTGGGGTTAATGTAGAGCATGAAATCAGCCATAATACCTGACTTGCTAAAATGAAACACAGAGGCCGCTAAGGACAGGGAGGGTTTCAGAGAAGGGCATAGGCCTTTGGAATGCTGAGGCCCACGTGACCACTCTGCCGTTGGAATGCCGTGGGGAGTTGCCTTCCCCCAAGCTTTCTTAGCCCAAACAGCCGCCCTGTGATCTAAGAGACGTATGCATTGTCCCTTAAGCTATGTTTAGCAGAACTCATAGAACACGCAGATTAGCATATTGTATCTTTCCTGTAAAGAGATCCTCCTAGTTTCAGTAAGATCCCTTGTCACACATCACGTGCTTGAGAAACAGTGATAAGGATTTGTGATTATCCTGAAGGACCAATAAAAGCTGGAGCAAAGAAGAGCAAAGGGTCTTCGTCTCTGACCCCCTTGCCTTCTCCTTTCTTTCTCAGCAAAGTTTGGAGTAATCTTTCATCCGTCGGTACAGGGATTGCTGGCCATTCCCAGCAATGTTTATGGATTGGAAAACTCCATGTAGAAAAAATATTCTCCGCAGGTCGATAGATTAATGTAATTCCTATAAAAATCTCAGCAAGATCTTTTCTTTTTTAATATATTGACAAGATTATTCTAAAATGTATATAGAACAGCAAAGGAACTAGAATAGCTAAAAACAACAACACCAAAAAAAAAAAAAAAAACCCTGAAAAATTGAGAGGTAGCAGACTACCTGATTTCAAGAATTATATCTGTAGTAATCAAAACTATGTGGCATTGGCAAGGAAGGACACATAGCATGATGAAACAGAATTAAGAACCCAGAACTGAGACCTACACAAGTGTGTCCAACTGATTTTTTTTTTTTTTTTTACAAAATTATAAAAGGGAATTTAATGGAGGAAACATTAGCCTTTCATGGTGTTGGAGCAATTGGATATCCATAGGTAAAAATCAATCAATCTCAATGTAAGTCTCATCTTCTACAAAGATTAACTCAAAATGGATCGTTCTTTCATTCTCTGTCCACCAAGGGTGAGGAATCTAAATGCTACCTTTCTGGAGGAGAGGGGGAGAGAGAGGGAGGAAAAGAAGGAGAAGGATGAGGTGGTTAGCTTTCACTGTCACCATTGTATGAGTTTGTCCCTTAGTGCCAGGAAAACAAAGACCATCCCCTTGGGGGTACATAGCTCAGCATGGGTGCCTTTCTGAGGCTTTGCCCTTTTATACAGAATGTGAGTAAGCAGTATATAGGCTGTTCTAGAAGTTCTGCAGAATTGTCCTCAGGTCATCTAGACCAGGCATTCAGACTATGCTTCCTAGGCCCTAGGACTGTCCTGAGGGGTACTGGAGACCTTGAGGATAACATCAACCAGAGAAGTTCTGTGTACGCTGGTGGGCAATATTCCACTTAAACGAATGATTCCGTAGCTGGGAGAAAGTTTGAAAGCCATTTGCTAACAGAGTGACCTTGGGCAAGTTAACTTCACTCTTTGAGCCTCTGCTTCCTCCTCAGTGAAATGGGGGTGTCAAGAGTGATCATTGTATGAATTAAGTGAAATCATACATTTAAACACTTAGCATAGTCCCTGCTATTTGTAAGTGTAAAAAATGTTAGCTGATTTTTATTACTGTTTTTATATTATTAGTAAGAGTCCTCTCACCTCCTGGTTTTCCAAGGTCACACAGGGAGTTAGTACATGGAGAAAAAGCCTGTAAGCTGTGGTCATGTTATGGTGCCAGCAGTTGGAGGGTACTGAGGACCATCTTGTGATGTGTGTCCTTTTCCCCCAGCTGGAATAAAGCTTGTCAGTGGAGAGAATGCGCTCCAGGGCTGTGGGTTGCATCCTCCTGTTATGATTCCTTGTCCCTTCCTGACCCCCTGGGGTGCAGTCCTTTGTCCTTTATATTCCTTCCTTGGGAGCAAGTTGTGATGGTAAAACTTACCTCTGGAGCACCTCTAGTTTGTTAAAAAAAATCATAATCAAATTATGAATACATTGTTAAATCAGTGTGTATTTTTGTGTAGCGGCCTTGGCAAGTAAGCTTCTTCTGAGCCTTGGTTTCCCCATTTCCAAGACAGAATAATAATATCTCCCCTCTCCCCAGGTGGCAGTGAGAAGCAAAAACATCATGATTTGTTATTTCTTTGAAAAACAAAGAATGATACATCAGTTCGGGGAGGGGACTTATCATTTTTAAAATTGGAAAAGGAATCCATATTTGGAATGGATATGGAGCAAACTGCATCATAAGCAAATATTTATTATGTATAAATAGCTAAACAAATATTTTAAAGTAAGCAATGCCAAAATAATACATTTTGATTCAAAAATCAGTAAAAATAAAAGTGTACAATGACTCTAGTTGAAGTGCATAGTATTAATCATCTACCAAGAATTTTAGGTCTGTGTGTCAAACAAACACGTGCAGGCAATCCCTAAAGAAAACCTAGGATTTCATTTGTTTTATCAATGGACTGTATGTATAGAATAATAATGACCTTGAAATGCAACATGAGGGGCGCCTGGGTGGCTCAGTCGGTTAAGCATCCGACTCTTGGTCTCAGCTCAGATCTTGATCTCAGGGTCATGAGTTGAAGCCCCGCACTGGGCTCCTTACTGGGCATGGAGCCTAATTAAAAAAAAAAAAAATGCAACATGTTTTTTGCTCACTTTTCTAAACTAAAGCCTCAGGACCCTAGCAGCAAGAAAGAGAAGAAAAACAGGGGGAGTCCTACTTATTATGCATGGATATTCATTAACAGTAGGGGGAACTTCTAGAGATGACATTTCAGCAAAGAAAAATAATCAGTTTTATCAAAAACCCATCACTTTCTGTATAATATCTGGTGCTCTGCTAGGCATGTCCCATTTTTTACATTATCTCCTTTAATCTCCCCATTAACTGTGTAAGGCAGGTACTAATTGACTGCATTTCTCAAGTGAGCAAACTGAGACTCAAGGAAATGAAGTAATTTGTCCGCAATCCCACAGGTAGGAAGTGGCAGAACTAGGCTCTGAGCCCACATTTTTACCACTACTTGTGTTTGTTAATAATTAAGGTTGGCATCGCATCGTTCAGTAAAATCCACAGAACGATCAGAAAAAAATCAAAAGGAATTCAAACCTCCGTTGGTGGCCAGTCTCCTCTTTTCAAGCTGTGCTAGGGAAACAACAGTCAAGGAATAAAACACTTACAAGCGTGCTATGGAGTTCATTTTGTTGAAGTGGGATCTAGCCTTTTTTGGGGGGGAGGGGGCTTTTTTCCTTTCCCTTCCCTTTCACGTTCCCCTTCCGATTGCAACCACTAAATTTCAGTGCTGTCTCTTAAGCATGGAGTATATATCTATTTACAGAAACAGGAAAGTGAAAATTGTTTCACGTGTTTTCACTGACCATACATTCCATCCTGGAAATCCCCACAGAGATTAAAGCCATGGTCAGTGACCCGGGAATTCCCCAGACCACCGGGACAAAGCCTCACACAGATCCATGTTCTGGAGGCTGAGAAACCTGAACTCTGCCATCCCTCATAGTTGCTTAAATCCTGGGTGCTGTAAGAAACGGTGAATAAACTGCCTCTGATATCATTTTTTTTTCCTATTTATTTTAGCAACTTACAAAGTCGAAACTGAAGAACCCCAAAAGGTATTGTTTCCTCTTTCTACCAACTTTATAACTATAACAGGTATACAGAATTGACTGTAAAGGAGTTTCTTTTATGAGCAAGGAGAAAGGTCTTTGTTTTCCATTTTCTCCCAATTCCTGAGGCTTTTCCAAGGCTCCAGCTGCTAAGATTCTGTCTCCTGTAATAACAGAGATAGAAAAGGTGGTGTGGGGAGGAGGGAGAAGCTGGCCCTCACCCATTCCCGGCCCGTTATCTATGGCAGCCAGCATCAACTGGCCATTAATAACGGTCCCTCCAGAGAGAGGCGTTCTGTAGCACAAGCCAAATGTGTATCTCCTGCACTTTCGGGAGGATGACCAGCTCTTTGAAGGCGCATTTTCTGGCTCCTGGTGGGCGTGGTGCGAGGTGCCACCTTGAAGCAACTTGGTTAGGGCCCAAGCAGAGTCCCTGCTGGCCTCAGTCCCAGCACCTGCCCGTGTGGTCGCGAACCTCCATTTCCTCACCTGTAAAATAGAGATAATGGAAGTACCCACATCTGGGGTCATTGTGGGAACGAGAGTCAGGTAAACTCAGAGAAACCATTCGATAGTAAATGCCTGCATCTCTCCCAGGCATCTGACCTCTCTGGGCTCCAGCTGTGTCTTCTGGAAAATGCTGTGTTCTCCATGAGGGCAGGAACAGATGCCCTGTGGTGACCGCATCTGCTGTAGTGGACGCTCAGTAAATAAGGGGGTTCATACTTGTTCCACTGAATTGCTGAGAGAACTCAAAAGTAGCTAAGCGCCCAGTACAGCGCCTGGCACACGAGGTGCTCGCCTCGTGTTGTAACTGTACCAGTGAAGGTTCACTCTTTCCTCACCGGGTTCGTTTAGTCAAGACCTTTCATCTTTCTGCTTGTTTTCTTACACCTACTAGAAAGGACTGTTCTAGCTACACTTTCTAGCTAGAAAACTACAAATGATTATTCTTATTAACAAGAGTAGAAACATTCTCTTAAAATGCTTCAATTATCTGGCCATATCTCCAAAATAATAAACTTTTCTGCACAAGTGAACTCTGTAAATAACTAGAGTTTATCTCATTCAAAAGAAAAAAAAGCATTAAAGTATTTTTAACTTCTTTTAAAAAGATTTATTTATTAGAGAGAGAGAGATGACGGGGGGAGGAACAGAGGGGGAGAGAGAGAATCTTCAGCAGACTCCGTGCTGAGCTCAGAGGCCGACACGGGACTCGATCCCACAACCCTGAGATCACAACCTGAGCCAAAATAAAGAGTCGGACGCTTAGCTGACTACATCACCCAGGCGCCCTGTATTTTTAACTTTAAAATCTTAACTTTCAGACATGTATTGTGTTCATCTCAGTATTCTTGTTTGGGTGGGTGGAATCTGATCTCACCTTGTCTTCATAACATGGAATCCTCCGGAACGTAAGGGATTGAATGGCTACAGTTCACACTCTTCTTTATAAAAATGCTCTTAGTCCCTTGGGACGCCTGGGTGGCTCAGTCAGTTAAGCATCTGCCTTAGGTCAGGTCATAATCCCAGGGTCCTGGGATTGAGCCCCGCGTCAGGCTCTCTGCTCAGCAGGGAGCCTGCTTCTCCCTCTGCCTCTGCCCCTCCCCCTGCTTGTGCTAAATCTTAAAAAAAAAAAAAAAAAGATGATGATTTTAGTCCCTTGTTAGGTGTTCAGAGCTAGTTGTCTTCCCACGAAACCCCAAGTCTGTTTGCTGCCATTGTTTTCTGTTCTCTGACAGTTCTGCTTTCTCTGTCAATATCTTTGCATCTAGCAGGGAGTCTGTCACGTGGAAAAGCCTGTACCAAGTCCTTGTTTTGTGTCAGGCATTTGTGCAAACGTGGGAGCGCTTCATCCTCCCTGCTCCCCGGTGAGCTAGTTTCACTGCTTGCATTTTACAGGGCAGAACTGGGGGCTCAGAGAGGCTCAGCCACCTGTAAATAATGTAGCCGAGGTCCATCTGACTTGTCACTCTACCATCCAGGTTGTTAGAATTATACGGAAAATAAAAACCGGTCGTCCCTGAATGAAGGCCTGCGGGGCTCTCCTCACAGGAGGGCAAATGAGCTTTTAGGCTGGTCTTGGGAGAAGCATTTTCAAGGCTTAGCTATTTTCTGTTTTCTTCAGCATTCTTGTCTAGATTCAAAATAATGAATGAATCAGATCTTGGTGACAACTGAATAAATGAGCTACATTGTAGTCATTGGGACATAATCTTAATGGAGCCAAATCTAGATTATATGAGCGAATTTTGGATCAGGGGGTGCACAGCCAGCCCGGGAGAGTTCCCAGCATGACTTGTGTCACTACTTCTGCTCGCTGAAACATTGCTCCGGTATCACAAGTGCGTATTTCCCCCAAATGATGGGAAAGCTTTATTCTACAGGCACATTCCTGGAAAAGCATGCAGAGGACAATTTATTATTCTAAGTCAGAGGATACATTCCCTCTGGCATGCACCGTCACATGGGGAATGCTTCTCTTCCTTTCCCACTGACCTTCATTTCCACCGGCCAGGATTCCTGGAGGTTTCTGTTGTCAGTGTCCACCTTTGCTCCATGCTGAGACCTCACCTGCCTGGTCTTTTGGTCAAGTCTCTAAAGATCTGTAATCATACAACAAAGGCATGGTTTGGATTGGTTTATGAAAATGACCATTTCCCTCTTTACTTTCAGCCTTGGAAGAATGGTCTCCATCAAGAACTTAGGTGAGTTTTATCTTCAAATGGAAAAGCATTAATCCAACCACCGGCCCTCTGATGCATGAACTAGTTTACCTCGATGGGTCAGCTATGCTTGCAGGGACTGCCCCAGTTCAGCTTTCCCAGCACCTCATAAGGTGCCTGGTGCAGAGAAGGTACTCAGGGGTCCTGCCCGGCCTTTCCCTCCTGCCTTGTTCCAGCCCACACCACACTCATCAGTAAACACTTACTGAGTCTCCAGCATGGCCAGCCACTTGCTAACCACTGGGGTGGTAGCAGTGATGGAGACCTGGCCACTACCCTCAGGGGCTCCTGGACTGTAGGAATCACACAGTCAACTGGGCATATAACCATCATGTGACTGCCAAAGAACTTAGTTTCCAAAATGCACCATGCTGTCTCAAATGTCTGTGCCTTTGCTGCCTTAATTCATTAATTCATCCCAACTTAACGATCTGGTAAACATCTACTGACCTTCAAACATTCCCACCTGTAAGAAGCCTTCCTAAGTCCCCTCCTTCAGAGAGAAGTAGCCAGGCTCCTCCCTGTAAGGTTCACAAGTTTGCACTAACATCACTGTGTGTCATTGGTTTGCTAACATGCCAGTTCATCCTCACTCTCCTTCTCTTCACCCCTTCTTGTGTGTGAGCTCCTTGTGAGAAGGGCCTGTGTTTTCTTGTTCTTGGTGTTCCTGATGCCGCTCATACTTCTGGGTCCAAACCAGGACCTTGGCAAGGCTGTGCTCTGACCCACCTCTTCAGAGTCTGTGTCTATCATTCTTCCCCTGGAGTTACTTTTAATGCATTAGAGTAAACATGGTCGGTGAGGTCTGGAGAAGCAAGTATCAAAATTCCCTGGCGGAGGCTAAACACACAAACACTGGGTCATGGGGGAAGTCTGTTTCATCTCTCTCCTTGAGTTCTGGCCTGCCTCGATTCATGCCCCCCATAATTACCCTCCGGCATCCAGCATGGTGCTTGGCACTTGGGAGGCCCATGTCACATGATTAATTCATTGTTTATTGAGCTTTTACTCTGTTCAGATGCTGCTAGATTCTGAGATACAAAAATGAATAGAATATATTCTCTTCCCTTGGTTCAAGATGGGCGTGGAGGCCAGAATGGTTGGGGGTAAGGGGCTATTTGGAGGGGGAAATGACCGTCTCAGTAGGAAGTTACAATATAATATAATCACTCCTAAGTAGTTGTAGGAACACAGAGATGAGACTCTGGGCATACTTTCTTGAAGAGCTGACAGCTGAGTTCAATCTTGAAAGACCTGTAGGAATTGGCCAGGTGAAAATGTCAGAATGTATGTTCCAGGCCTAATTTACCATTTAGACCAGCCCTGTCCAATGGAACTATAAGGCAAACCATAGATGTCATTTAAAATTTTTCTAGTAGCCAAATGTTAAAAAGTAAAAAGAAACAGGTAAAATTATAATATATTTTATTAATCCCAGTATATCCAAAATATTATCATTTTGACATGTAATCAATATAATAACTGTTACTGGTGTATTTTATAGTCTTTTTTTTTTTTTCATAATTCTTCAAGATCCAAGTATGTTTTATACTTACAGCTCAATTTGGACCAGATATATTTCTAAGGCACAATAGCCACACATGGACAGTGGCCACAGTTGACAGCACAGATTTATACTTTATACTCTAGGTCAGGGCGGAGCCACAAAAGAGTTTCAAAGCAGAGATAACGTACCCCATCCCCTCGTAGTATTCCTAGAAGTCACCATATTGAGTTTAATTTGATAATTGTTATGGAGATCCAGCTATATAGAAACTACTGGACAAGACCTGAGGGGCAAGATGGATTACCAAGGGCATGTACATCAACAAGGCAGCTATGTTTTAGGAGAAATACCAACAATGTGCAATGAGAAATAAGAATTGGGTAATTCTAACACAGCAAATGCTTCCATGAAGACAAGGACCCCAATTACTGCAGGTCCTTTATATGCTCTGAACAATGCTAGGCTTTCAACATTTTTCTCACATTTCATTCTCATGGCAACCATGGAGATTGGCATTGTGACCTTTCATTTATAAATGAGAAAATTTGATTTTTTTTAGAAAGGTTAATCGTAGACTTGCAGAAAGAGGGATATATAGTGGGGATTAGAAGCCAGCCCTCCCTCACCGCCCCCAATCATCATGGAACTAGCAGATGGCCTTAATGGGGGACACGGTGCTCAGTAATTAGATGAGTGAATGAAACTCCTGACAACTCTTTCCATTGTCTTTCAGAACAGTACTGTCTCTGGTGCTTTCCTCCCTTGATGACCTCCTCTTCTGAGTTTCTTTGAGGGCTCTTCTTTTTCTGCCTTCTGTATGAATGTGGTTGTAAATCTAGTTCACTGTGCCAGAACAGAAGTCCTCATTTGGGGGTTGATGGTTCCCCAGCATTCTGTCCTTGGTTCTCAGGTTTTTCATGACACTGTCCACCTTGCGTCTCTCTCTCCTACTCCCTCCAGTGCAGCTGCTGTCTGTATACTGCGGTGCGCGGCAGTCCTTCATTTCCGTAGGGAAGCCTGGCTAAGTACCTTACTGCCCTGTGCCAGGGCCCATGCTATTGCTTCTCTAGATTACACAGCATTGGTGCTGGGGATATATCGAGAAATAGCAGAGCTCTGCCTCCTTATAACTTGATTGTTCATTTACAAGGCAAAGTGGAGGAACTGGAGGCAGATCCATAGACAGTGCTTTAGAATACAAGATAGAAGGACAAAGTATTGGGGCAGTGGATAAGAAGGTATGACTGGGAGAATCAAGGAAGGATTCTCAGAAGTAAGATGATTCAGACAAATTGAGAAGGGTGTGATGTTTTCCAGCAAGATGCGGAGGGCATGTCTGTCAGGGGAAATAGCAACTAAAAAGGGAGAGTTGCTCGAACTAGGATCGTTGGTTTGGGGAATGTGAGAGTCTAGAGCAAAAGTGGAGGGAAAGAGCAGAAGTAGATGGGGTTGGAAAGAAAGGTTTCGGCCAGATCACTATAGGCTTAGATTTTATCCTACAGGCAATGGGGAGTTCCTAGGAGATTTTAAGCAGAGATTCGTTCTGGCATTGATTGGAGCAGGTAGAAACTCAGTGAAATGATCTAATGGGTGACCTGATCCTCATCTTAGAAGAAGGTGGAGAGAGGTGGGGGAATTATTCGTGTTTTTTACATTCACTTTTTCCATTCATTTCATTTAGGATTGGGTGGTACACTATGGTCTAAACACTCTAAACCTCACTTTTCCCCTGGTGTCTCTTCACATCTAAGCCCTAAACATGAAGATGAAGATAAAAAGGAGACGGAAAAAGAGCCATGTGAATTGGAGCCTCAAACACCAGAAAAGGATCTACCTTCAAGCCATCTCTTCAAGGTATCAGAGTTCTAGGGTCCCAGGCCAAACAGTAGAGTTCAGGCATGTCATAGGAGTCGTTCATGGAGTGGACTTCTAGTGGCTGAGACAGCAGTTGTCCAGACACAGAGTCAGAAGACCCTGTGGCTGTTGGGTGTTTGCTCAAAGAAAGGAACTTGACAGTAACACTGAGCTCTAGCCTCAGGCTTTCTACTTATTAGCCATGAAGCAGGCCTTAGGAGTGGGGCTGGGACTAGTGTGAGTTTAGCAAGGCATCCAGAGGGCAAAACATAGACACCCAATTGGGGGCTGTACCCTGAAACTGAACGACCCCGGAGGGAGGGCCTCCTTAAGGTGGGCCCTGCTTAGAACGACTTATTCTCTGAGCTCAGTCATTTCATCTGTAAGAGAAGAATAAATAATCCCTACCCAATGACCATACCCAGTCCCACCCTGATTCTGTCTTGTGATGATAAGATAATGTGTGTGAAAGTGCTATGTAAACCATAAAATACCATAAAAATGTATTCTTAATTATTACTTATTGGTAAATACTATATGTGTGTGTATTCATATCCAATTGACAACTGTCCCCTTCAGACAGCTAGAGTGGTCTGCTCAGAACATTCTAAAAACCTATTTGAGATGTGCCTATCTTACAGTATCAGATAGTTCCAGTCCCATCTGCAGGGCTCAGGTAGATCAAACAGGTTGGTGGTGGCATGGGCCTGACCTGGTGGGTAGGCCCGGAGGCCAGGATGGATCAGGATGTGTGTTTATAGAGGATCACAAAGCAGTATCATTCAAGGAAGCAGTAAGTCACTAATTGTGAAAGAAAGGGACCAGAGTTAGGGAAGTGGCATTACATGCTGAGGCCAGAGGGAGGACGAGGCCATAAGTGGGTGATGAGGCCAGAGATCAGAAAGGGGTTAATCAGGAGCATGAGAAAGACAAGGGGGGATCATGGTTAGGGATATTGGTTAGGGATATTGACCATGAAAGAACCCCAAAGCAGGGATATGTTCTCTATCAGTGCTGGCCGTTTGAGAAGAGCCAGGTATGGGATCAGGCTACCACCAAAGGGACACATTCCTGCTTTTGTGGTGTGGATTTGAGTTTTGGAACTTGTTTAAAAGTGACTTAGATTATGTTAGGTAAATGTGGTGGGCAGTGTAGCTGAGCAGTGCTGTTTGGAGTCAGATATAAATGGTAAGTCAGTAGATACAGAATCCCCTGTGATTCAAACTGACCCTAGGAAGCATTCCCAAGGACAGGCCAAGGGGAACCCATGCACTGCCTTATTAGGGGCCATGGTGAAGGAAGGTAGTCACTGCATTTGTGTGAAACTCTGACTTATTTTTATCATTTTTCCCCATTAAAAAATTCTTTCTTGGCTGTGTGACTTGAAAGAATGCCCCTCCTTATATTCTCCTTTTAGTTTGCCCAGACCCCACCAAGAACTCAGGAAATCCCATACTTTATATCTGTTAAGTACTTCAGCTTCTTCCAAGTACTTTCAGATGTATTGTCATAATCAACTCTCCTGTCTACTTGATGTCCAAAGTACAGTAATCTCCACTCCCATTGTCATCTGATAAATGTCCAGAAAGGCTGTAATGCTCCTTGGTTTCCAGTGTCTATTCCTGGCAATCCATCCAGATCTTTCTGAAATGAACATCTGCTCAGATTGCTGCCTGGGGCTCAGTGAGGCCCACACTGAAACTTGCACGCATGACCCTGCATTACTCAGCCTCATTCTGTCACATCTTTCACACCTCGTCTTTTTTCTCTGTCCCTTCCAGTCTTCCCTCAGCATCAGCCTCCATACACCTGTCTGAGGACCCTAACACTTCTCCAGATACGCATGCCTTTGCTCATGCTGATTTATCTGCCAGGTACTCCTTTATCCCCTCAGTCAAGGAAGAGTCCTTACATTTTAATATACTCTTTAGTAAGACCTGCTTTGGAAGTCATCCTCCACCCTGTCTCCCAGTTGAGAGAACGGACCTCCCCTCCTCTGTTTCTGTCTCAGTGAACAACACAACGGCAAATGGTTCTTGCCACATTGTATCTTAATATTTGTGTAATGTCTCTGTGATCAGTGTGTAGGCCACCGTGCCCATGGTGTCTCTCTATCTCTGGAACTCAGCATTCGTGTCCAACAAACACTGCAGGGAGGGAGTGGGAAAGGAAGTGAGGAGGAACAGAAGAATGGCCAGGGGAGAGATGAAATGTCAGGCGGAAGGAACGCAGCATCGCTTGGTGGTCAAGAGCACAGGGCTCAAGTCCTGCCTTGGTAGACCACTGGCTGTGAGACCAGAGGATTTGGAGGTCCTTTATTTAACCTTTCGAAACTCTTTATCACGTGGACCAATGATATTTTCCCAATGGGGTGTCATGGAGGTGAGGTGAGATCAGATATATGAAGAATCTGCTCTGTAGGCAGTGCTCTGTTACATGCCCCCTGCCTTCTGTGGGGCTGCCTCTGCGCTGGTCATTCAATGGCCATTCAGAGGCGAGCCAAAGACTTTGTGTGCATCCTTGTGAAACTTAGTCTAGGGAGACTGTGCAGTACCACAATAAATCATTGCTCTCCGTGAAGCGTGAATGACTGAAGAACAGAATAGAAGTAAGTGGCAAACGGAGCAGGTAAGTCCGAGCTCTACAGCACTCTCCCTGTTGCATGTGTTTAGGGGGCTGCCCGTGGAGGAATGCGGGGAAGAAAGCAGGTGATGAAAGTCCTCGGAGGCAGCAGGAGCATGCTGCCCAGGAAGCAGGGCGCTGTGAGCGACGCTGTCCAGACAAAGGCCTGGCCCCAAGACCCGAAGCTGGCCAGGCACTCCCTAGGCCACTGTAAGTTGCCTTTCTTCCTGCTTCTCTTCACCGTCACCGAATGATTTTAAAGTTGTGGGTGTCCAAGATGTTAGTTTCTTTTATAAATATTTATTGAACATTTATTATGTACAAGGAAACTTGCCCTAGTCAGGCATTTGTGCAGTCATGTAAAGAGCACTGGATTTAGAAGGAGAAGACCAGAGGTCGAATCTAACCTCTAATACTTAATAGCCATAACTTCATATTCCTGCAGCTCCATTTCTTCATTGATAAAAAGGGATCATACTATGGGCCTCACAGGGGATTTGTGAGGGCCAAATCTGACAGTATGTCACATAATAGGTACTCAGCAAATATTTACTTCTTTCTTTGTGTATCTACCAGCTCCTATTGATTTTTGTAGGCCAAAATAATCGATACACTGATGATATAGTTAGGATATCATTAGTTGACTTTATTTAGGTTGTATTTTACCTTCATGTTAGTCAAGACTCTTGATTATAGGTAACAGTAATCATATTGTGTTGAGAAAAAAAGGGAGACTCACCTCAAGGAAAGTCTGGTGGTGACGGGGTCCACATACACAAACAATACCAAGGACTCAATATTACTTCTTCTCCTGGTTTTTCCCTCCCTGGCTTAGCTCCATTTTAATTAATACTACAAACCCTACCCTTTTGGAGGCAATATGGCATCCAGCTGTAACAAACTTATACCCTATCCTCTTAGGAACCCTAGAAGAAAACTAGAAATTTTTACCTTCTCAAGTGTTATGAGAAAAGGCCCAGATCTGGGTCTTATTGGCTCTGACTGGGTCACATGTCATCTCTGCACCAGTCATTATAAATGGGGGATAGGATGCTCTGGTTGGCTCAGCCTGTGTCATAAACTCACCCCAGGAGCTGCAGGCAGAGTCCGTTCTACCAAAAGTACATAATATCAGATTGAAGGATTTCCCAAGTCAAAGAAAAGGGCTGTTGGGGGGCTCGGGGGAATAGGTATTGGTAGACAAAGAAAACAGATATCCACTCCAGCCCAATAAACCATGGCAGACCACTGACATTTCACGTTACAAAACAGTTATGAGAAGAATAAATATGCAGTGATCATAAGATGGACTCCGGGTCCCTTAAAATGTGCCTCTGGGCTAGTTGGCCACATCCCTGCCTCACAGGTCCTTCCCTGCATACTCTGCAGCATTCTGCATTTCCTGCATCATGTGTTTAAATGCCCCTGTAATTTTGCCTGATCTCTGTCTGGAATTCGCTACCTGCTGATGTCCTAAGCATCCTTTAAGATCTATCTCAGAAGTCACTTCTTCTGAGGCCTCACTTACCTCCATCCATCCTCCTCTTCCCTGCTCTCCAGGGACCACAATTCCCCACTCCCTTCTGTTTCCATGGCACTGAAACAGCAACCAAGTGACCCTATCTCCATATTAGGCTTTGCAGTTAAGCATTTCTGGGACCCAGGACCCCTATATACTAATCCCATAATCTTAGGAAATTTACAGACTTTCATGTACAAATGGGGTTAATACTACTTATTTTCCAGGGCTCTTTGTCAATGTATATAAAGTGTATATTTCAGTGCTCAATAACTGTTAGTTCTCTTCATTTATTTCCTTCTCTAAAAAAAGTATAGCATACCTTATGTTATAATACATGGGGTACGTGTTTGTCTCCCATGGTACACGGTGGGCACCATGTGATTAGAGACCATTTGGTATTTTTTTTTTTAAGATTTTATTTATTTATTTGACAGAGAGAGACACAGCGAGAGAGGGAACACAAGCAGGGGGAGTGGGAGAGGGAGAAGCAGGCTCCCTGCAGAGCAGGGAGCCCGATGCGGGACTCGATCCCAGGACCCTGGGATCATGACCTGAGCTGAAGGCAGTCGCTTAACCAACTGAGCCACCCAGGCGCCCACCATTTGGTATTTTTCTCTGTATTTCTGCAACCTGGCACAGTGTCTGGCACACTGGAGGTCCCCCAACAAAACTTTGTTAAAGAAAGGAATAAAAGAATAAATCCAACTCCAGTGAGACTACAGTAGATTTGACAACATGAATAATTCTTTTGACTAAGAAAAGTAAAGAATGAATTTTTGGAAAATGTATTAAAGTATCACAGAACTGATGTAAAAAGAAAGCATCCATATACTTGCAGGAACCAGGAACCCTGGAAGGTGAGTGCCAGAGCTACTCTTGCCCTAAGGGTTTTTACTGAGCTCTGAATCTCTTGAACTCCTATTTTGAGGGTGTGATGTTCAGAGGACAGGTCCTGATATCCCAGGATCTGCCCCAAGTGAGCTCATAATTGGAAACTTCTGTATAAAGTCAGGACCTCAAAGGATTATGTCCACACAGAATGAATAAGACTGTGCCTATAGTTAAAAATGCTATATTGTGTACTTATAAATTTGTTGTCAAAAGGGTAGATCTCAAGCATTCTGAACACAATAAAAATTTTTTCAAAAATAAATGGAAAAAGGGAGAAAGATATTTTTGATATTATTGGCACATGAGAAAGCACAGAGGTGGCATAAAATCAAAAACCATGCCTTAAATTGAGAAGTGGGTAGATTTAATTTGGAGTATAGAAAAAAAATGGAAGTGAGAGGAAGACCAGTTGAAGTGAATTAAAGAGTTACAGGAGAGCCCTGAATATGGGGATGAAAGCTATTTTCATGCAATTATGAACTGTCCGTGAAGAGTCACTATAGATTTGGGGATTATACCATGAAGAAAACAGTCCAAAGAGGATTATTCTGAGTAATCTGTACATGCTGCTAAAGCACAAAGGGAGTTGCTGAGTCCATTACTAGTTCTTTCCAGTACTTGTTTGAGTAGCACAAAATGCTTAGTCAAGGAGAGTTGGCATGAAATCAAAGTTTTGAGAAGAAAAACACAATAGAGTGTCTTTCTGTACTCCTCCTATGCAAATAGGCCTCTTGAAAAAATGAATGAAATTATCACTTCTTTTGGTTGAAAAAAAAATTAACAAAACACAAGCCCTGGTAATCAGAAGGAAACTTGGCCATTTTGACCCTGGTGCTGGGTGAAGGAAAAAAAAAAAAGATTACCATAAGCTGATCCTCATGTCCATCAGCAGTTCAAATCCCCACTACAATGTGTGTGGTCCAAAAGAAACCCAAAGTAATCTAATGTGGTATCAGCTTGGTAGCCCTCCCAGACAACTGGTAGAAGCAAACAAAATCCTCTTTCATGGAACCAACTTCTATTCCAGGTTTCAAATAATTCAACAATATATACTTTTAAAAATTAACAGTTCATAGACAAAAATTACTAAACACACAAGCAAACAAGTCACAGTGATTGGAAGCCAGCAAAATAACAGATCTAGGAGCCAACCTGCAAGATAGTACAGATATTGGAATTATTAAACACAAAACATAATATTTAATATATTTTAAGATACCTCAGAATAAACCAAACCAAAGAGGTAAAGGATCTATACTCTAGGAACTACAGAACACTCATGAAAGAAATTGAAGAAGACACAAAAAGATGGAAAAATATTCCATGCTCATGGATCGGAAGAATAAACATTGTTAAAATGTCTATGCTACCCAGAGCAATCTATACCTTCAACGCCATCCCGATCAAAATTCCAATGACATTTTTCAAAGTGCTGGAACAAACAATCCTAAAATTTATATGGAATCAGAAAAGACCCCGAATCACCAAGGAAATGTTGAAAAAGAAAAACAAAGCTGGGGGCATCACGTTGCCTGATTTCAAGCTATATTACAAAGCTGTGATCACCAAGACAGCATGGTACTGGCACAAAAACAGACATATAGACCAATGGAACAGAATAGAGAACCCAGATATGGACCCTCAGCTCTATGGTCAAATAATCTTTGACAAAGCAAGAAAAAACATGCAATGGAAAAAAGACAGTCTCTTCAATAAATGGTGCTGGGAAAATTGGACAGCCACACTCAGAAGAATGAAACTCTACCATTCTCTAACACCATTCACAAAGATAAACTCAAAGTGGATGAAAGACCTCAATGTGAGACAGGAATCCATCAAAATCCTAGAGGAGAACATAGGCGGTAACCTCTTTGACATTGCCCACAGCAACTTCTTTCAAGATACATCTCCAAAAACTAGTGAAACAAAAGCAAAAATGAACTTTTGGGACTCCATCAAGATAAAAAGCTTCTGCACAGCAAAGGAAACAGTCAACAAAACAAAGAGGCAACCCACAGAATGGGAGAAGATATTTGCAAATGACACTACAGATAAAGGGCTGGTATCCAAAATCTATAAAGAACTTCTCAAACTCAACACCCAAAAAACGAATAATCAAGTCAAAAAATGGGCAGAAGATATGAAAAGACACTTCTCTGAAGAAGACATACAAATGGCTAACAGACACATGAAAAAATGTTCATCATCATTAGCCATCAGGGAAATTCAAATCAAAACCACATTGAGATACCACCTTACACCAGTTAGAAAGGTAAAAATGGACAGGGAAAGAAACAACAAATGTTGGAGAGGTTGTAGAGAAAGGGGAGCCCTCTTACACTGTTGGTGGGAATGCAAGTTGGTACAGCCACTTTGGAAAACAGTGTGGAGGTTCCTCAAAAATTTAAAAATAGAACTACCCTATGACCCAGCAATTGCACTCCTGGGTATTTACCCGAAAGACACAGATGTAGTGAAAAGAAGGGCCATATGCACCCCAATGTTCATAGCAGCAATGTCCGCAATAGCCAAACTGTGGAAAGAGCTGAGATGCCCTTCAACAGATGAATGGATAAAGAAGATGTGGTCCATATATACAATGGAATATTACTCAGCCATCAGAAAGGATGAATACCCTACTTTTACATCAACATGGATGGGACTGGAGGAGATTATGCTAAGTGAAGTAAGTCAAGCAGAGAAAGTCAATTATCATATGGTTTCACTTATTTGTGGAACATAAGGAATAGCATGGAGGACATTAGGAGAAGGAAGGGAAAAATGAGGGGGGGGGAATTAGAGGGGAAGATGAACCATGAGAGACTGTGGACTCTGAGAGACAACCAGGGTTTTAGAGGGGAGGGGGGAGGGGCGATTGGTTAGCCTGGTGATGGTATTAAGAAGGGCATGTACTGCATGGAGCACCGGGTGTTATATGAAAACAATGGATCGTGGATCACCACATCAAAAACTAATGATGTACAGTGACTAACATAACATAATAAAATTTAAAAAAAATTAAAAAATATGAACAGGGAATAAACAGATTTGAAAAAGATAAATAATTTGATAAATTGATATAGAAATGCAGTGAATGAATTATACATCAAATTAGACACAGGTGAAGAAATTAAGGAACAAGAAGATAAATCTAGAGAAATTATCCAAAATATATTCCACAGGAGAAATGATAGGAAAGAATGAAAGAGAGGATAAGAATCCTCAAGGATAAAAGAAGTCTTAAAATAACATTAAATCAGCGTTCTACAAAAGGGTCCTAGAAAGAGTGGGGAGGAGGATAAAATAGAGATAATGCCTGATAATTTTCTAGAATTGTTGAAAGGTATCAATTTATAGATCCAGAAGCCCTTAAGTTCTTAAGTAGGATAAATAAAAGAACTCCACACCTAGTTATATCTTAAGGAAATGGAAGAATATTGAAGAATAAGAGAATATCTTAAAATACCTTAAAAGCAGACAAAGGAAAAGGCCAGTCACCCAGAAAGAAACAAGCAGGCTGATTGCTGAGTTCTCAACAAGAGTGTGTAACTTGAATACAGTGCTGCTGAAAAATATTGAATGTCTATCCAGAATTGTATAACTAGTGAAAATGCATGTCAGGAATGGAGGAAAAATTATTATATTTTCAGATAAATAAAAAGTGAGAGATTTTAATCACCAAATGAAACCTTCTCAAGGAGATTCTAAAGCGTGTAGTTCAGGCAGAAAGAAGATAATCCCAGATAGAGAATTTCGGATGCAAGAAAGAATAGCAAGTGTCAACTGAATAAAACAATAACATCAAACTGGGGAGGGGGGAAAAATATTGAACATTAATAGCACATACTTTGGGAAGGTAACTCAAAGCATTCTAACGTTTTTAATTGTGAGTAACAATAGTAATTTATGCTAGCTTTAAAAGAGAGTAGCTAGGATATATATTCATCAAAAGATACCAGTGAAAAAGCAAGGCACAGAGTGGAAGAAGTTACTTGATTTGTATATATATTTGACAAAGGACTCTGATATGGAATATATAAATCTTCTATAAACATCACTGTATCCAGAAAATATAAAAATCAGGAAAAAAATTTAGAGAAATTGGGAAAATACATGAAGAGGCACTTCACTCAAGAAGATATTCAAAAAGCAAATACATTATGGAAGAGCTGTTCACCTTCATTAAGTCTCAGGGAAATGCAAATGAAACCTACAATGTGATATCACTACACGCCCACCCAAATGGCTAAAATAAAAACCACTAAAAATATCAAGTCTTAAGTTATGGAACAACTAGAACTCTCCTACACTGCTGGGACTGTAACTGGGGTAATCACTTTGGAAAACTGTCTGGCAGTATCTATTAAAGCCCAGCATATGCATATCCTATGACTAGCAACCCCATGCCTATTCTTATACCCAATAGAAATGCATACTTCAATTTACCAAGACATATACAAGATGTTCATAGCAGAACTTTTTATAATAACCTCAGACTGGAAACCATCCACATGTCCATCTAAAGTAGAGAGGATAAATGTAGCATGTTCACACAATGGAATCGTTACAGGAATGAACAAATTACAACTCTACGCAACAGCACAGATGAATGTCACTTAGTATTGAAGGGAAGTAGGCAACACCAAAGAGAACATTCTGAATTTTTCCATTAATATAAAGTTCATAAATCAGCAGAATTGACCTCTGATATTAGGCAGTACGATGGTGGCTCCCCTTGTGGGAGGGAACAAGGACTAGAACAGAGCATGGGAAGGGCTTGGGGGCACTGGCAGTGTTAGGTTTTTGATCCTGTACATGAATATGTTCAATTTGGGAAATGTATTGAGCTATACTCTTATGATTTGTGCTTTTTCCTGTATGTTATTAAAATTTAAAATATACTAGGATAACTATTAAAAGATAGCACATATTCCTTCCAAACAAATAGAAAACAAAGAAGAATGAAGAGAAGAAATATCAGTCAAGAAAGAGGAAGATGGGGGGGGGAACAGAACATATAAAAAGTATGTAATGAGACAGAAGATGTAAAATTTAATATATCAGTAAACACTATTAATATGCAAAACATTCTAGTTAGAAGACATATGCATTCAAATCATTCAATATTAAAAAATACTGGAGTGCCTTTTATGTGCCTGGCTCTATTCTAGGTGCTGGGGGTATAGCAGTAGACAAAACTGACAAAAATCCCTATGCTCATGGAAGTTGCATTCTGATCAGAGGAGACAGATGGTAAATATATAAAAGATAAAATATCCACTCTGTGGAATGCTGTGGTAGTAAATGTTATGGGAAAAAATAAAGCAAGGAAAGAGAATGAAGAAAGCCAGCAGAGGTAGTAGGAGTTGCAATTTTAAAGTGTTGATAGGTGACTCCAGAGATGTAAAGTAGATGAGAGCCAAGTGTATCTAGGGTAAGAATGTTCTGGGGAGGGGAGAAGGAATGCAAATATCCTGAGGCAGGAACCTACCAGATGTGGGGGCAGAACAGCAGGGAGGCTGTGTGGCTAGAGCAGGGTGTAGGAGATGAGGTCAGAGACATGACAAGGGCCAGATAGTGTGGGAGCTTCTGTAGACCATTCCAAGAACTTTGGCGTTTCCTCTGACAGATTTTTCAGAATGGGAGGTTTTGAGCACAAGAACAGAATGATCTGATTGTATTTAAAGAATCGTCCTGGCCGAAGTCATGAAAGAAGAAATGCAAAGGGATAAATCAGGGACCTGTTAGGAGCTTGTTGCACTAATGTGAGAGAAATGACTGGAGCTCGGAGGAGCATACGTGGCAGACTTGTTGAGATGCGTTTGGATTCAGGATAGAATTTGGAAGTAGCGGAGGGAGTCAAGGACGTCTTTGTGTTTGGGACCTGAACAACTGAAAGGACGTGTTGCCATTTTTTATTGAGATGGAGCCGACTTCAGGAAAAGCAGATTTGCAGAGAGAAAGTGTGAGTTTGGTTTGGAGCATAATGTGTTTAGACAACCAAATAGGAGTGGTGTGAAGGCTGATGGAGTATCTAGAATTCATGAAAAATGTCTAAGTTAGAGATGTAAATTTGGGAGTTGTCTGTGTTTTTAAAAAGAAGCCATAAACTTTTACATATGTTGCAGCCAAAAGGAAGGAGTCACAAAGGAAAAAAAAAAGTCTTGAACTAGGAATTAAGCACATGGGTGTTCAGCTCTCTGCTTTGTGCTGGAGAAATTTACTGGTAACTCCTTAAGGAAAAGCAGCACTTTATGGCTTAAGGACCTGACATGCTTGAGACGCTTCAGGGTCTACATGCTAACTGACTTCTTATCAGGGGGTAAAATCTTGTTGCTTGGTTCATTTAGTTGACATAAGTCAATTTGCTCGTTGCTTATTTCTCAGATGTATCACTTCTTCTTTCTGATTAATAGTTCATGTGTGAAAATGGTTCTGAATCACCCATACTCGAAATATCAACCCACGCCAACTGATAAAAATGTGGCAACTTTATGGTTATGACAAGTTGACAGCTCTGTGAAATAAAGCAGCACCTGCAACTAGCTACTTGTGCCAACAATCCCTGTACATTTTTCAACCTGGCACACCATCTTCTGGCTAATTCCATCACTAAGAAATAAATGTTAACATGCTCAATCAACTTGTCTAAGAAATTTGAAGAAAAAATGCCACAAAACTGGATAAGGTCATCTAGATTTAAAGAGAGAGAAGGGTCTCCTGGGTGGCTCTGTCAGTTGAGCGTGTGACTCTTGGTTTTGACTCAAGTCATGATCTCAGGGTCGTGGGATCAAGCCCTGCATCATCGGACTCTGCACTCAGTGGGGAATCTGCTTGAGATTCTCTCTCCCTCCTCCTCTGCCCCTCCACCATACTCTCTTTCTCGCTCGCTCGCTCAAATAAATAAATAAATCTTTAGGGAAAAAAAAGAAACTCCAGGGCTGTACCCTGGAGGATCTCACCATCTGAGGTCAGAGATTAGAGAACAGCCATTAAGAGAAGAGTTACTGGTCACTAGGCTAGCACTCTTCATAAATACATATTCATCCTTGCCACCGTCATTGAGAGACATGACAAGGGCCAGATAGTGTGGGAGTTGGTGTTATTATTGTCCCAGCTTCAGAGAACCATAACTGAGTCTCTGCAAGGTGAAGTGGGGTGCCAAAGAAGCGTACATACCAAGATTATAACCCAGTTTCAGCGTATGAAATCTGCCTTTCCTATTCTTACCTCCACTGTCATGGAATGTGTGAATGCATTTATGGTAGCAGTTGATGAGCTATTCTTCAGGACTTTCTCTGTTTTCTTTACAGGTGGGTATGTGGAGGCCTTGGAGGTCACCACAGAAGCGCCAGGCAGGGGGGCCTGTAAGCCTCACTCCATCTCAGAGGAGACCTATGATGATGTTGAGTACCCCGGGAGAGTGGGGTAAGTGCATGTCAGCCCTTCAGCAGTGTGGTGAGACTGGAGATGACTGTGGTGAGACTAAAGGTACAACACAATAGGCTAAGGGTCTTTGCATTATTTCTCCCTGCAGACCACAGTCAGACCTCTCTAACTCATTTGCTTCCGATAATGGTAAGTATAAGAAGACATTTGAAACTGTCGGTAGGAATTGCTGAGTGCTTCTGTGGCTGATAGTGTAAGGTGTCTTTTATCTATATATACTTTTAATAATGCCCATCGGGTGAGGTGATGACAAGCTAGGTGGGAGAAGTGGTCCAAGGTATGTGCTAACAAATGCACTTAGAATCATGAAGGTGAAGACGCTAATAATGGGGCTTTTCGGCAATAAAGCAACTTCACTGTGAAACGTCCTCCTTCCTGACTGCTTCACAAGGCAGGTCTGGTTATAGGAATGGTTTTTTTTTTAATTCAAATTTTGTTAGTTAATATACAGGGCAATATTGGTTTCAGGGATAGGATTTGGTGGTCCATCACTTACATACAACACCCAGTGCTCATCACAAGTGCCCTCCTTAATCCCCATCACCCTTCCAGTCCTTCCCACACCCACCTCCCTCCATTAACCCTCAGTTTGTTCTCTATCATGAAGAGTCATGTAGGGCTTGTTTCTCTCTCTCCTTTGTTTCTTTTCCCCTTCCCATATGTTCATCTGTTTTCTTTCTTAAGTTACAGGAATGTTGTTTACTTAACACTCAGTCATGGTTTCCCAATACTTTTAAGATCAACTCTTACATGGTCTAGAGCCTTGAGTGGTTTGCCTCTACCTGCTACTGAGGACTTTTCACACCATACTTAGTCTTCATCCTTGAGATCCATTCATGCCTACCGCCTTTTAGCTTCTCTGACTTGCCAAGCTCCACCACAGGGTGTTCTCATGTGCTCCTCCTTCTTTTTGGAATGCTCTTCCCTCCCCTGGGCCCCTTTGCCTACGTGACTCTTGATGTTTCCTCTGATCCCAACTCCTTCATTTTTGCCCCAGAGAATATTCCCCTTGGTGTATAGTCTCATCAATATCCTAGTACCATGGCTTTCCCTGTCAGCACTTTACAGTTATAATTTTATATGTGTGTGATTCTTCCATTAATAACTGTCTTCCCTCCTAGCCTGTTACTTTCTTTATGCTTGCTATTTTTCCTAGCCCCTAGCATAATGCCAGGAACATGTGAGACACACCAAAACTATTTATTGAATGTGCATGGATAAAGAAATAATAGAGGAGGGATAATCAAATGCTGCTCTGGTTGCTTTTGTCTTCCTTAGAATGTCAGAATTTTAGATGGTGAAACAACCTTAGAGATCATGAAATCTAGTATGCCATTATAGAAAGGAACTAAGGCATGGAGAAGTTAAGTGACTCTCCTAAACTCACGGTGCGTGAGTCACATTTTAAACTTGAAAAGCCTCCATTGCAGGGTAGCCTCAAAGTGTATCTGTATACTTTAAGCTCATGTGTTGGGCTAGGCTAAAGCCATGGTATCAAGCGAAAGATGATTCAGGATGCTTTGGTTCTCCATTATTGCCCCAGCATTCAGCACAGTGTGTGATGTTTAGTAGACTCTGAATGTTATATATGAAATATGCAAAGGATGAGGGTAGAAGGATGGAATCTGTTAATAAACCAGCTTTCTTCTACTACATCAGATCAGACTTGGAATTGGGTGGAAGCAAATATGAATTTTCACTTTGTACATACTTTTATAGAGGTTTAATTATTTTTACCATATGCTTATTAAAAAAAAATTGTGCTTGACATCAAGTTGTACCTAGCACCTGATAGGTATCCAGTAATTTCTTATGAAATATGAATCTGAACTACTGTCATTATAATAAATGAAAATAGTTTTTTTTTAATTTCAGAAGAAAATAGTGAAGAAGCATATGAAGAGGTCTATAAAACAAAGAGCAACTACCCAAAGATAGAGTGAGTTTCTCTCTTTCTCAGCTTTGTAGCTAATAGTACTTCCCTGTTAGTGTAGGAAAACCAGAGTTGAAGAAACAGTCCCCTTCCCTTGACCCTATCATCCTTAGGGAGGATTTGCATCAAGAGTAGAGATAAGATATTTTAATACTACACTGTGATGAAAAAGAGACTTGTGATTGTATACAATCATATGCTACAATTTTTAATTATATTGCTTCCTCTTTTGAGAAAGTGTCCACCTCTCAAAGTAGAGGGCCTTAATATTGTGTTAGGAAATAAGTGAGAAAGGAGAAGTAAGTATCAGTAAAGCTTGCTTCAGTTCTATCATAGCATTTCCAGGAAGAAATCAATGGTTATGACTTAACTTATGTCTTTGCAAGTTAATAAGACTGTCTCTGGGATTTGGGCTTAATTTAATATCGAAGAATTCCACGTTATCAGGAACATTTGCTCAAATGGGCATTATTCATCAAGTTTAGTTATTGGGGCACATTGTGGAAATGAAACAGCAGTGGTCAAAAGCAAGAAGGTTTAGGGTTGAAGGGAAAGGTAGGGATCCATACTGGGTGGGAGGGTGTGGGTGTATCATTCCCTCTCCCTACCTCCTAAAAAACCTGAGAGCATATTTGGAAGAATTGTAATTCTTAACTGGGCAGTAAATGTACCACCATTGTTGTGACATCATTCAATAAATTAAGTCAGTGATGTAGATTTCAGGAGCCCGGAATTTCAAAACATTTTTCCAGTATAGTTTATAAACTATGCTTCCCAAAGTCACCTTCTCTAAAAGGAAGACCTTGCTTCGTATCCTCAAAATAGAGACCATTTGGGGCGGATGAAAGTTTGTATTGAAGTATAATCCCCTTCATAGCTGACTGGTGTGTTATTTCATATTGGTACCTCAACAAAGAAGAGCATAGATGTCGATAAGGCATTTCCTGTCTCTTCCCGGAGTGAGATGTGTTCTGGAATAAGCCTCGTCCATCTCCAGTACTCTCTGAAATGCCATGTTATTTATATCCTCTGATTCCTCTTAGTTTAGATGGAAAAGAAGCACTTAAAAGACTGCAGAAATTCTTCAAGAAAGAAAAGGATAGGTTTAAAATGAAGAAAAACAAGTTGAAAGAAAACGTAAGGTAAAAAGTCTTTCTTACTTTTTCTTTCCAGGAGAGGCCTAGCAGTGCTAATCTGGTAGTTTTACATTGTATTCTCAGAAACAGTGCAGGGGATATCTGAAACTAAAACCAAGGGCCCTGGTTAACACTTGACTCCTCCTTTCCAATTTGTGAGTGAACCATACCCACAGATACTAATAAGACAGTGACAATATCCCTTTTGGAAAAAAAAAAATTGATGATAAAGGGTTGTAAACAAGGGTAGAAGGAAAGTCTTAAGCAAAGTCTAGAAAGGAAATTTTTCCTCATCACCTTTGGCATATATTCCTATTATCACTAACTATTATATTATTAATTGTATCCTTTTATGCTTTCTTAGCCCTACAAGTTCCAGTGGTTTTAGTTGTCTACATTTTGTATTCTAATTTGCCTCTCTGGAGTGAGGCAGTGTGTAGAGAGGGGAGATGAACTTTCAGCTGAGTGGTTCATACATCTCAAGGTCTTAGACCTGGAGAGGACCCTCTCCTTCCCAGCTAATTACCAATGTTTGAGAAAGTTACAGATTTACTAGCGGTAGAGATGGGAGGCCTGAATTCTGGGTTCTAGTTTCAGCTCTGCAATTTATTCACTGTGCAGTTGGGGGCAAATCATGATCCAGCCCACGTTTCCTCTTGCATACAAGGGAGATTCCGAGGTACTTCTCTAATATGTAGAAATGGATAGATCTGTTTTAAGAGGCAAGGGATGGTAAAATAATTTCCCCAGGGTCATCAGGTATACTGGCGTGGAATTGTTACTCTACCTTGAAGTTCTTGTCAATCATAAAACCTCAAAGTTATGTGATATTAAGCCCAATTGTCTGCTGGATCTAGATCTACCAAGAGATCCAACAGAACATGGGGTTCATAAATTATAGTCCTGACCATGGAAGTAGAGCTGCAGTGCTCAATAAGACCTATGCACAAAGGCATTGTCTGGGCCTAGCAGGTTAGATGCTTCTGACAAAAAATTATGATGCCTGTGGTCCCTTAGAAATTTGATCCAGGTGAGGGGCACCTGGATGGTGCAGTCAGTTAAGTGTCCCACTCTTTATTTTTAATAATTTTTTTAAGATTTTATTTATTTGAGAGAGAGAGAGAGAGAGTACGAGAGAGGGGAGGGTCAGAGGGAGAAGCAGATTCCCCACTGAGCAGGGAGCCCGATATGGGACTCGATCCTGGAACTCCGGGATCATGATCCGAGCCGAAGGCAGTCACTTAACTGACTGAGCCACCCAGGCGCCACTAAGTGTCCCACTCTTGGTTTCAGCTCAGGTCATGATCTTGGGGTCGTGGGATCAAGGCCCACATTGGGCTTTGCACTCGCCATGGAGTCTGCTTGGGACTCTCTCTCCCTCCTCCCCCTACCACTCATGCTCTCTCTAAAATAAATAAATATTTTTAAAAAATTGATCTAGGCGAGAATGCAGATATTTTTAAATGCAAATCTGCTTTCCTTTTTCTTAGAACTATTCAGTGACTTCTTACAACCGTTAGAACAAATATCCAGTCCCTTCCTATGGCAAGTAAATACTTTATGGCAGCTGCCTTCTTACATGTCCAGTTTTTTCTTGTTTATCTCTGATTTCCACTCTCTACTATGCCATATAAATACCTCCACAGATCTAACTCTGCCATCGTACTGCATGCCTCTTCACTTTAATCAGGACATTCCCTTGGTCTTGAATGCATCTGTCCTCCTCCAACCTCCTTTGATTATCAAAAATGGTCAAATAGTATCCCTTCTGGGACATCTTCCCTGAACCTCTCTACCCAAACCTGGATCACCTGTCTCTCCTGTGTATCTCCCTAATATCCGGAGCATGTCTTATAACATCTCCTGAGAAACCCTTTTTCTTAGAGTCAGAGAGTCTCAGGGTAACAAGAGAAATCCATATTATCTAGTCCAACCCAGTACACAAGCTTCTCTGCAAACTTCCTAACAAGCCAAATACCTGTGCATGCATACCTCTATAAAAGAGAAGTTACCACCTGCAGAGAAAGATGTTTCATCTTTAGAAAAGTCTATTAAGATTTTTTCCCATAAATGTTGGCAAAATCTGCCTCTTTGCCTTAATTTTTCATTTAATAACATGTAGATATAACAAGACAGGACAGAATTTTATTATCTTCTGTTGAGCCTTTTGATTGAGGGCTCCTCTCTTGAACACCAACTCCTAGTTGATTACTTTCCCTTCAGAGGGAAGTTGCAACAATGGTAATGTGACATTTAAAAAGAGTAAGGCTCTTCCAAAAACAAAATGAAACAAAACAAAAACAGAATAAGGCTCTTCACCCTCTCTTTGTCTCAGACACACACACTGCCTATTAGGATAGTCATTCAATGGCTTGATTTAGGTATAAATAAGTCAAGAATTAAATGCCACCAGCCTTAGCTATGCTATGAATTTTACATTGGAATTAGATGTTAAACCTGTTCTCACTCCCTCTGTTCCAGATGCACTGACTTCCTTGCTTTTCTTTAAAGGACCAAGCACACCTCTGCCTGAAGGTCTCTGTATTTGCTCTTCCCTTTCCTAGAATACCCTTACTCAGATAACTGCGTGGCTCACTCCCTCACTCCCTTCAGGATTCTACTCAAGTCACCTTACCAGTAAACCCTTCCCTGACCATCTTCTGAAAAATGGCAAGCCAACCTTCACCTTCAGCTCTCCTGCCCCCTTATCTTGCTCTACTTTTTTCAATTGTACTTAACTCCTCGCATGACAGAACATAAATTTCCTTGTTTTGTCTGCTTCACCCTACTAGAATCCATGAAGGCAGGGATATTGACTGTTTTGTCCATTGCTGTATCTCCAACATAAAGAACCATGCCTGGGACATGATAGGTACTCAATAAATGGCTATTGAATGAATAAATGACCTAGAGGAAGGAAATATCATTCTAGATTTTTAAAAAAGATTTTATTTATTTATTTGACAAAGAGACCCAGTGAGAGAGGGAACACAAGCAGAGGGGAGTGGGAGAAAGAGAAGCAGGCTTCCCGTCGAGCAGGGAGCCTGATGCGGGGCTTGATCCCAGGACCCTGGGATCATGACCTGAGCCAAAGGCAGATGCTTAACAACTGAGCCACCCAGGCACCCCTCATTCTAGATTTTTTGTAGCCTCAATTTCTAGGTTTAAATAGGAGCTACCACCACCCTGGCCCACTTAAAATAGAGGAAGGGAATTGGTATTAGGAAGGGCTTTTTTGAGCCAGGAGCCCTTGAGTGGAGAGGCCAAGGATGCATGCTAACTAGGCACTGGGGAGAGGGAGGGTGAAGTGCTTCACATGTGTTCTCTCTCCAATCTTCACAATAACCCCATGAGATAGAAACTCTTTTCTCCATTTCCCAGATGAAAAATTAAGGCTTTGAGAAGTTATGTGACTTGCGCAGGGTAAGTGGGTAAATGGCAGAACTAAGAGTCAGATTCAGCTCTCTCTGACTCCAGGGACCAGGTACCGCTTCTCCTCTATTCTGACAGCACCCAGTCTGGTCATACAGTTACTGATAGCAGGGACCAGTGAGCATCCTCAGCTCCTTTGCCAGGCACATCCACTTAGGTACACCCCATCCAGCTCTAATACTCACCCTGCAAGATAGAGCTGGTATTCACTTTAGAAATGAAGAACCCAAGGCTTGCATAAAGGTTAGCTGATCTTTCCCAAAAGTGCTGTTTCTTTGGACAATCCTATATTATGTTCTTATCACACAGTGTTGTACTAATTTACTTTTGGTCTCCCTCATTAAATGCTAAGCTACTTCGGGGTAGAAACTTTGATCATTTTGTATGCCCAGCACATGGGCCTGGCCCATGGTCAGTGTCCCCCTAATACCTGTAGGACTGAACTTAAATTGTTTAAAATACATGAATTTTTTTTTTCTACCACATCATACTTCCTTCCATCTCCTTAACTGTGTAACCAAACAGTCTACCTGGGCCAAATGTCCTCTCCCACTTAGCAATCTGCTATCTTCCATTTCCCCCTGGTCTGGAGCCCTGCTCTCAAGATATCCTTTTGGCTTAACCATATACATAGGCAGGGTCCTGTGTCTGCAGAGGGTAGTTCTCTCTCACCATATTTATCCCACAATGGATATCCAGGTGCACCTCAAAGATATCATGGGTTGGGTTCCAGACCACTACAACAAAGCAAATGTTATAATAAATTGAATCAAATTTTTTGGTTTCCCAGTTCATATAAAAGTTATATTTACACTATAGTGTGGTCTATTAAGTGTGAACCATGTCTAAAAAATATACACACCTTAATTAAAAGATAATCTATTGCTAAAAGATGCTAACCATCATCTGAGCTTTAGTGAGTCATAATCACTGACCACAGATCACCATAACAAATATAGTGAGAAAGTTTGAAATATTGTGAGAATTACCAAAATATAACAGAGACACAAAGTAAGAAAATGCTGTTGGAAAAATAGTGCTGATAGATTTGCTTGATGTAGGGTTATCATAAACCTTCCATTTATAAAAAACCACAGTATGTATGAAGTGCAGTAAAACCAAGGGCAATAAAATGAGGCATGCCTGTATTTGGTGAGCATCTTGGGAGGTTAGAAGGCAGAAACAGGATCTTGTGGATGGACGAAGGCAGAGCCTGAGGTTGTCTAGTTAGGAAAGGGGGAGTGGATAATGGGTGGTCCCTGGAGATACATAAGCTCATTTTTAAATGGTGGTATGGAAGCGAGGAGAAGGTTAATCAGAACGAACCTGTAGGAAAGGTTTGCTTCACATCTTTGCCTAGACACACCTGCATCAAGAAACCTAGTCATCAATATGTTATTTGAGATGGATCAACTAATCTCTCTGAACCTGGCTTTTTTCCGTAACCCTTTTGTGTCTTTTGTCAATCTACAGTGCATTTTCAATTTCGATGCCTGATTTAGGTAAGTGACATTCGCTAATTGCTGGTACAAAACTACTCAGCATTAGCATATTCAGGGGCACGGACAGAGAAGTAGTAATCCTTTCTTCATTCCACATTTAATGAAAAATTGATACATAAAAATCAAAGAAGACATTTTACAAAACAGTATTACTTACTTTGGGGAAGATGAGTAACATTGCTTAAATACCCACTGTATACCAGGCCTCTTAAAATCCCAGAAAAATAGGTATAATCTTTTTAGGGAGGCTCTAGGACCCACATCCATACTTTAGTGATCTGGGATTTGTACTCAAGTCTCTCTGATTACAAAGCTTGTGCATTTTACATTATACCACACAGCCTCTTGATGGATTTGACAGCCAAATCACCCTAATTAATACATAATAAGTTGGACAGGATCACATTGCAGTACACATACTGATTACATCAAGGATAGGCCATTGGAATATTCTTTGCTATAAAAACAATAGTGCAGAAATTAGCATATTGCCTGATATATAGTATGATCACAATACATGTTCAGTAAGTTGAATCTGTCAATAAAAGAGGGCTGTGTTATTTGTTGGTTTTTGTTTCTGAGCTCTAGCCATGATGGTACTTTGAGTTCACTCTGAATAGGCAAATCAAATGTTTATTATATTCCAGAAATATGAGTTTGATGCACTAAACAAATGAAGGTTATATAAAAAACCTGATAAAATCATAGGTCTCCCAAAATTCCCTTGGTCCATATAAAAATCTAAAAAGCCAACTTAGAATAGGCATGCATTGTACTCCCACCCAAATTTATGAACAATCAAATGTGAATTATGAATAATTATACCAGAAGGTCTCAAACTCACTCAAGTGGTGAATCACTTAAACATTATGGAATTCTGGGACACCTGGGTAGCTTAGTTAAGTGTCTGACTCTTGATTTCAGCTCAGGTCATGATCTCAGGGTTGTGAGATAGAGTCCCATGTTGGGTTCCACAACTGGGTGTGGAACCTGCTTAAGATTCTCTCTTTCTCTCTTCCTCTACCCTACCCCACCTCTTTAAAAAAAATTATGGAATTCTATGTTGAGCCCCAGGAATGTGAATATCCTAAACTGAAAATGTCTAGTTATGATTATGTAACTAAGATTCAATTTTATGCAAGATTATTATAGAAGAGCAGTTGTCTATGGTTTGAAATAAAAATAATGGAAGAAAAATCAACATGAATATTCTACTTAAACTGTCTTTTTCCCAGGAATTAGGAAAAGCCTTCTTACTATTCTAGAAGTGGAATATCTTTGTCCAGTTCCAAGATGATGGGAACCTACTCTAAAAATGATCCTTTCAGCAACTCATATTTTCTGAAAATCTGCACGAAATTAAATTGATATAAATATATATGTCTGTGTTTGAGATACTAGGGCATGCCACTATTTTTTTAATCTCTCATTTAAATTTCTTCCCAAATCGAGATTCTTTTTGTTCTTTGATCCTTCTAGCCTATCTATATTCTATGATCAGATCTATGAACAGATGTGGGGATGCACCTGGATAATTGGGTATTGTGGATAATTTGGAAAGCAAGGGATTGTATAAACCATACCTAATGACTATTTTGATCCTGTCTTGAACCCAGAACTTAGGTCTCAGGAAGTTATTATCTATGATAATGTGGACATAAATGAAAAAGAGTCAAGGTAAGTCATTTTACCTCATTGGTTATCCCTACTGATATGCAACCCATTTTCCGATGCTTTGTTAAATATGGTCAGAGGGCCACCTTTTTAGAGCCTTAGAGACTGGATGAAAAGTCAGCTTGTGATACAACATAGACAGTTAGTAGTCTGAGTCACTTAACAGTAGTAGGTGATTCAGAAGTTACTGGAGCTTTTCAATCTGTTTCATATCTTTGAATCTAGAGACTTGAAACTCATTTCAATGCAACACACCCTTATTTAATAACCTCTTATGAACAAGGCAACCTGGAGGATAGCAAGCACTGTATGACAGAACAGTCTGTTCTCAAAGATGAAATAACTGTAATATATCAAGAAACTATCCTGAAACTCGATGTCCCCTCTCTAGCTATTTGTTATCTATCCTTTCTCTCTCAACTAGATGACTAAAAATAAAGGTCCCCTCTGCTCCTTTTTGATTCACTTAGGGTTCCAAATTTTTGCACTTATAAACACTATTGCTATAAATATTCTTACTCATCTCTAATATGAATATGTCCAAGAATTTTTCTAGGAGATACTTAAGGGAAGGGAAATGCAAATTATGTAGGGAATGCAAATTTATAAGAAAACTGCCAACTTGTTTTTCAACGTGGTTGTACCAATTTACACCCTTCCCAGCCATTTCTAAGGAGAGTATTGATCCACCTTTTCACCAACATTTAGCACAGAGGAAATTCTTAATTTTTACCAATTTAGTGGATATAAAATACTCAGTGTTGAGCCCCTTTTAATATGTTTATTCACCATTCATATCTTTCCTTCTGTAGAAGGCCTGTTGATACTTTTTTCCTATTTTCCTATTGGACTGATGGTCTTTTTCTTATTTACTTACAGATTTTTTTAATGTATTCTAGATACCATTCCTTTGTCAGTTACATATGTTGCAGACACCTTCTCCTAAATGTAACTTGACTTTGCGATGTTCTTCCTAGTCTTCTAATGAATACAAATTCTTAAGTTTAATGTATTTGAGTTTATCAATTGATTTTTGCTTTTTATATCTTTTAAAGAAATATTTAGGGCGCCTAGGTGGCTCAGTTGGTTAAGCGACTGCCTTCGGCTCAGGTCATGATCCTGGAGTCCCGGGATCGAGTCCCGCATCGGGCTCCCTGCTCAGCGGGGGGTCTGCTTCTCCCTCTGACCCTCTCCCCTCTCGTGCTCTCTGTCTCTCATTCTCTCTCTCAAATAAATAAATAAAATCTTAAAAAAAAAAATTTATCCCAAGATCATATGATATCTTCCCATATTTTCTTCTAAAACTGCTAAAGTTTTTGCCTTTTACATTTAAACCTTGGGGCGCCTGGGTGGCTCAGATGGTTAAGCGTCTGCCTTCGGCTCAGGTCATGGTCTCAGGGTCCTGGGATCGAGTCCCGCATCGGGCTTCCTGCTCCTTGGGAGCCTGCTTCTCCCTCTGCCTCTCTCTCTCTGTCTCTGTCTCTCATGAATAAATAAATAAAATCTTTAAAAAAAAAAATAAAAAATAAAAAAAATAAAAAAAAAAAAATACATTTAAACCTTGGACCTATCTAGAATTCATTTTTGTGTTTTGGTACTATAATGAAGTAGCTAGCAATCCAATTAAATTTTTTACCATATGGATAAATGTCCTGCATGATTAATTGAATAGTCCCACCTTTCCCCATGGAGGTACAATGCCATCTTTGTCATACCAAGTTTCCCTATGTCTGAAATCTGTGTCCATGCTCCCTATTCCATTGTCCTTTTCATCTTAATTGCAGGGTGCTCTGAAAAAGTAATAAGATATTAGTAAGTACTAAATAATTAGTAAGTACTAAAGTAGTAAGATATAAAAGTACTAATAAGATATTAGTACACTGAGAGAGTAGTTGATATCAGTACCTTGACATGTTCTAAGACATGATTTATGCCTAGTGTGTGGTCAATTTTCATAAATGTTCTTTGTGCAGTTTAGAAAAATATGACTTCTCTAATTGTTTGGTACGACGATCAACTTATGTTCTTTAAATCATTCTCTTGTTAAAAATCTATAGATTTGTGAATTTTTAGATGTTTTACCCATCAATATTTGAAAGAAATGGGTTGAAATCTTACATAAACATGGTAGATGAGTCAGTTTCTCCCCAAACTTGGCTAGTTTGCATGTCACAGCTTGGTAGGTAGGTATTAGATTGAGGAGAAGCCAAAACAGCTCTAGATTATGGTCGCTTGATATTCCAGACCTCTACTTTTCATTTCCTTTTGTTCATTAGACTGTCCCTAGAGAGTTAGCAAGGGAAGGAAGAAGAGGGGGATCTTGAAAAGGACACTGGTACAACTTCTATAGCTTGGCACCCATGGGACTTGTAGCATATCCTCTTACTTCTCTGAACCTTAGTTTCTTGGTAAGATTTGGTAATAAAAATCCTCATCCTGCCAGATTTATTAAGCTCCCTAATTAGATCCCTAGAAAACTAATATTAGTTGACAAAGGGGCAAAGAGTTGGCTAGTATGGGTCTAAATTGGTATGATCTCTCTGAAAGTATAATTTGGCAGTATGTATCCAAAATACCCACACCATTTACTTAATCCAGCAATTCCCAGCTCAAGCAATGGGCTCTGGTGAAAAAGGAAACAAAAAAATTTCATGCATAAAAATGTGTATCTCAGGGTATTTATAAAAAAATGTTTAAAACCACCCACCCAAACATCAAAACATATAGTAATCTGCTAATTATATTATAGTACTCAACATGACCTTTTAAATATATGCTAAATAGATGCTAAAGAATTTCCAATGGCATGGAGAAGTGCTTACACTATAATGACAATAGAAAAATAGCAGAATGCAAATTTATATGTATAGTATGATCTCAATTCAGTTTTTAAAAGTGCTTGGAAAGATGTTTCGAAGGAAACTTAGATGTCTTTGAGAGGTCAGATTATGCTTAATTTGTCTCTTCTCTACTTCTTCCAACTTTTTAAATACTCAAATTGTTGCAATGCTTGCTGTAAAAACTAAATTAGTTAATATATAAAATGCCAGCATAAAGCTTGACACATAGGTGCTCAAAAAGTATTAATTCCTTTTATAATACCTTTTCCCCTCCCTGCATCATTTTCTTTTTTTAAATAATCTTAGTTAAAAAATTTTATTACTGAGAATTCTAAACAGAAAAATCAATAGAATCTTATAATGAACCCTTATATACCCAATACCCAGCTTTAAAAATTACTAGTTTGTGACCAAACTTGTTTACACTGTCACCTACCTCCCCATCTCCAGTATTTTTAAAATTAACATACAGTATTATATTAGTTTCAGATGTACAATATAGTGATTCAACAATTCTATACATTAGTCATGATAAGTGTACTCTTAATCCCCTTCACCATTTCACCCATTCCCCCCACCCACCTCCCCTCTGGTAACCACCAGTTTGTTCTCTATAGTTAAAAGTATTTTTTGCTTTGTCTTTTTTGTTGTTGTTCATTTGTTTTGTTTCTTAAAATTCCACTTGAGTAAAATCATAAGGTATTTGTCCTTCTCTGACTTATTTCACTTAGCATTATACTCCTTATACCCATCCATGCTGTTGCAAATGGCAAGATTTCATTATTTTTTATGGCTAATATTCCATTGTGTTTATGTGTGTGTATACACCACTTCTTTTCTGTTATTGTTATATACCACTTCTTTACCCATTCATCTACTGATCGACACTTGGGCTGCTTCCATATCTTGGCTATTGTAAATAATGCTGCAGTAAACACAGGGGTGCATATATCTTTTTTGAGTTAGTGTTTTCAATTTGGAGGGTAAATACCCAGCAGTGGAATTACTGGATCATATGGTAGTTCTATTTTTAACTTTTTGAGGAATGTCCATAGTGTTTTCCACAGTGGCTGCAGCAGTTTATATTCCCACCAGTAGTGCATAAGGGTCCTTTTTCTCCACATCATGACAAATACTTGTTTCTTGTGTTTTTTATTTTAGCCATTCTGATAGGTGTGAGGTGGTATTTCATTGTGGTTTTGGTTTGCATTTCCCTGATGATGAATGATGTTGAGAATCTTTTTATCTGTCAGTATGTCTTCTTTGGAAAACTATTCATGTCTTCTGCCCATTTTTTAATTGGATTATTTGGATTTTTTCATGTTGAAGTATATGAATTCTTCATATATTTTGGATACTAACTCTTTATCAGTTATGTCATTTACAAATATCTTCTCCCATTTAGTAGGTTGCCTTTTGGTTTTGTTGTTTCCTTTGCTATGCAGAAGCTTTTAATTTTTATGTAGTCCTAGTAGTTTATTTTTGCTTTTATTTCCCTTGCCTCAGGAGCCATAACTAGAAAAATGTTGCTAGGGCCAATGTCAGAGAAATTATTGCCTGGGCTTTCGTCTAGAATTGTTATGGTTTCAGGTCTCACATTTATGTCCTTAATCTATTTTGAGTTTTTGTGTGTAGTATAAGAAAGTGGTCGTTTCATTCTTTTGCATATTGCTATCCAGTTTTCCCAACACCATTTGTTAAATACACGTTTTCCCATTGCATATTCTTGCTTCCTTGTCAAAGATTAATTGACCATATAATTGTGAATGTATTTCTGGATTTTCTATTCTGTTCCATTGATCTGTGTGTCTTTTTGTGCCACTACCATACTGTTTTGATTCCTATAGCTTTGTAGTATATCTTGAAATCTGAGATTGTGATACCTCCAGTTTGTTTATCTATTTAAAGATTGCTTTGCCTATTCAGGGTCTTTTGTGGTTCCATACAAAGTTTAGGATTGTCTGTTCTAGTTCTGTGAAAAATGCTGTTGCTATTTTGATAGGGATTACATTAAATTTCTAAATTTCTTTGGGTAGTATGGATATTTTAACTATATTGGTTATGCCAATCCCTTGGAAAGCATAGAATACCTTTCCATTTGGTTGTGTCATTTTCAATTTCTTTAATCAGTGTTTTGTAGATCTCAGATTATAGGTCTTTCAT